AGCTGGACAGTTTGTATCTTTATTTATCTGTACAGTATTTCGGCCTATTTTATGGAGAATAACAACAGCTTGCCACTTGTCATATCCTAAAGCTTTTGCAGAGTTCGTGGTGGAGTTGTTATGGTTTGACTCACCATCAAAAAACGGCAGGAACTTGCATGTTGCATGCGACTGTACGATGTCAGATAATCTAACGATTGACGGCCTAGAGATATTTGCTTCATAGGCTATCACTCGAAACATATTCCATTAAGGTATGTTTTTTTTGTTTTTTTTGTTTAATTCATTAATTGCATGCAATCCATTAAGGTATAAGTACATAAGACATACATGTATATGTAGGTATATATGTAATTGTCTGGTTTACTATATATATAGAAATATTGGTTGAAACCTTCTTAAGGAGTTAAGGTATCCAAATCGACCAATATCTTCATATGATCATTCTCACGTGCACGCGTACATCCCTTCGTCAGAGACGTCATATTAGGCCCACGTGCACGACGGCGTGGTGATATTCAAAAAAAAATCTAGCTACAGACCGCGGAGACACCAGAAAAGGTATAGGAGTGGTCACAAAAGGTGGCTTCACAGCAAAAGAGGTTCGCGGGGTGAGGGCTAGGTAGTACTAAAAGTTGCCTACTAGCTCCCGGTCGTGAAAACGCACGAAGGGATATGAGTTTTCAAGTAATTGGAATTGAAGATATGCGAGCCTCAATGGTGCCTAGGAAATCCCGTTTGATTCAGGTAGGTAAAAAGAGAGGACGACAAGATCATATACAATTGCTGTATAGTGGCCGAGTACAGGAACCCGGGCTCGACTTCGAATACTGTGGTTTACGACGTATCTTATCTTTGAGTCGAATTACGTTACATGTAGCTATAGGTCAACCGATTACACAAGTATACCCATGTCCTGTACCAAGCATTGAACCTTGGCCTATTACATTGTACCCTACACACAGTACCAGCAAAAAAGGGGGTGTAATAGGTACTGTATATATACGTACCAATACGGGATTGTGAAAAACCTCCGAATTAAATCGGAATCCTAACTGCTATACCTTAGCAATACCTTAGCAATACCGTAGCCTTGCAGTGTTCTGTTATGTGTGGTACTGGATCCACCCGCTTTTTGGTACTGTATACATATATGTGTCTCGAAAGCTCCGTTTGAATTATTAAACAAAAAAAAAAAATCGAAAGCTCCGTACTTGAAATTCTATGAATATAAATGTATGTTACTACATGCATCAAAAAGCGATATTTATAGTTAAATAGTCGATTTTAACCAAGTACCTTCTTGTCTAAAATTCCTAAAAGAACATCTCGAGGCCGGGCCGAGGATCAATTATATGCAATATATGTGGTACGACCACGTAATATTCGAAATCAGAAAGGCTTTGATAAGAAATATATAAATCTCCAAACATGGGGGTTATTAGTCTCGTTACTCGATACATCCGGTATTCTTTTGAGGGTGGTAGTGCATACATGTAGTGGTGGTACATTATCAGGTACATGTACGTACGTACGGGCACGACGAGACTGCATGTAGGTATATACATATACATTTATATATATGCAGTGTGACACACCCATAGGAGTAATTAATGATCTAGCCCACGGTTGTTACAACATCTTGTTGTAATTACAATACCGTAGATGATAACATATTTAATCGAATGAGATGACGAATCCCCTAGTATCAATCTCAAATCCGGAGAAAAATAATCTACATAAGGGCCTCCTACTCTGTACGTTGAGATCCTATGATAGACAATATACTTCGTGACCGAAATAGTTGTGCATGGGCAGGCTTACGCTCTGCTAGCTGCCATTTTTGCAGAGAATGGGCTGGATCCAATATGGAGTCATGACGGCAGATATATCCTATCAAAAACTACATGTATTTATTTTATTTACGGAAATATACTAAAATAAATTATTAAGTTTGTCTACATGTACCTAGTCCTCAATGCCATATCTCAACACCATCAAAACTGACTGCCGACATCGATGCCCGCTTGAGCAGATGTCTTTTGTGTGTTATTCAATTCAACCTACATGTATTTATTTCTCTCCTTGCCAAAATGGATGGAACTTTTATGAAGGGAGCACTCAATAGGGTTATAATTATCAGCGTTACTTTGGATACTGCTTATTCTGGTGGTGTGAACTGTGGTTGGGAGAAGGGGGGGGGGGGGGAGCGGGAGCTCCTACGTTTTTCCTACGTCGTAGATTATAAAATGAAGACAACAATCCCGAACATTGACCACCTTTTAACGACGGTCCTGAGTATAGGTGTCGATATCCCCCCAAAGTATTTCTGCAGAGGCTAAAGGTGACACAAGTTTAGCTGAAGTCTGATTTACCGCGGCCATGGTTACCTACTTGTAAATTTACCTACATATACCTACATATATGTATGTACATTTATGCAGAGGATATAATATTATGGTGAAAGAGAAAAATGTATTGATTCATAATGCGGTCTATATTCCACCGAAATTCGGTGAGAATACATGTACTTGTAGTATATATTAAGTAGAACGTATGTACACATAGTACATGTATTGAAGCTTCTTGAGAAATACATGTACATGTAGTTATGTAGTACGCAAGAGGTTTCTCTGAACGGATTCTGGGCGTTTTAGGAAGTAAGGTTCGGTCTAACTATATAATTAATATGTACTTATACAGGTAGTATGAACTAAATCAGGTTCTATGAAGTACCAAATCAGTGAAGTGCCCAATTAAAATTGATGAAGTAGTGTTGGATCGTTACTGGTGGTACATGGTGCCGTCAATTCGTTTATATTTTCTGAAGGCTTAGGCCTCAAGTACAAGGCTCTGGGATTAAGTGAGTGAACGGATCCTCACCAGTCAACACCCATTTAGTTCACCCACTTAATGCCAGAGCCTTGTACGCACTGGATGCATGTACTCAAAGCTCTATGCCAATATGTGATCACATGATTCATAGAATCTTCGGTAAGTACCTACATGTACTTTACTTGGTCGCCAAATAATTAATTTAAGCTAATCTTACTCATGCGTTCATTAAATGGTCGGAATTTTTAGTAAGCATTTAATTGGTTGCAACGATATCCGACTACTTAATTAACGCGCGATCGGAGTATAGGCAATCTTATACCATTCTACAACATTAGGAGCACTCCCGTGTATGGTGCGCACCATACATGTACTTCGGTATCAGGGATAAGTGAGAAGACACCACGATGCCAAGATTGCGTGAAGGGTGTCTTCTCACTTACCCCTACCCCCGAAGTACATACTCAATCTGTGGGCAAGAACCCTATCACAAAAGGGGCCGAAGAATGGTTTCTAGAAGGTCTATGGGGTTCTTCAATTATGAATAATCTCGTGAAGACCTTAAGATACCCAATTGATGGACTTGGCCTTAGAAATTCATACCTGTATCTAAATTTAAAGCTGGAGTACTCGGGTGTGCACCAAAGTGATCAGAACTCAACGGAGATTGGTTAAGGATATGTGGGTGCAACAGGCTGGGGCCAATAATATCTGACAAGAATTTATATCTTGAATGGGGGAAAAAAGTCATCAGAACTATTGCCAAATCCCCATCAAAAAATCCATAAAATATATAAAATATTTTATTTATCAGCACCTACTCTATATTGTATTTGGACACACATTTGTCTATGTAGAGTTAAATTTCAGCAGATATCAATAAAACTGAGGGCAAAATTTGGTCTCTGGAGTTCCTTGGGGCATATGGTTGATATGCCCCGGGTGGGCCAACTTGGCACACCAGGGCAACCAGAAGGTTCTCTCGAGGTTCTGTCCAACCAGAGGCAGTTCTGATCACTTACCCTTACACCCGAGTACATGTAGTTCCTCTCTGATCTTGAATACATCATCATACAGTGCAAGTCCTGCAGCTGGGTTGTACAGCTATCGGTAGAATTATTGCAGAAACAGGGACCGACGATCACGCCGAGAGCAGGGCGATTTTCCAACGCAATAATTCTACCGATAGCTGTATTTGACGACTGCCAAGTCTTGCATACATGTATGTTAATGTACTCGTAGCTTTATAGCGTTTCCGAACACGACCAATATTGCATGACATACGAAAAAGCGCTAAATCCACCTTTTTGTATGTCATGCAATATTGGTCGTGTTCGGAAACGCTATAAAGCTACGAGTATGTAGGTACAGCGGTGGGTAATAAGTGATCAGACAGAACGCCACCAAAATACGCGTTTGCAGGCAAAATTGTGGCTAGGTCGTCCGATGACTTAATACCCACCGCTGTACAGCCACTCTGCAAAAGTGTTCGTGATTAGAGCGTATTTGACAACTGTCGATTTCGACAATTGACAGTTCGGCTTTGACAGTTGCGGGTCGCAAAATTGACATTATACTTTACGAACTCTCAAATTATTTACCATTATCAGTGGTGACGAGATCGAGACATAAGGCCTTTTGCGCATTGATAGAGTCCAGCTCCAAGTTCCGGTACCCTGTGCCGATACCCTCATCAATCAAAATTGACGGTTCGGCAAACCGCTATTGCAGCCGGCGAACTGTCAATTGTCGGAATCGACAGTTGTCAAATACGCTCTATTCCAATTTCGGAGTGAGACATTTCTCCATATGTAACCGTGGCGGACCACCGAGAACCCCCAAGAGAAGACTTTCCCAGTGACCAATGGCGCCTAAATTAATGAAGAATAAGATCAATGACCTATCTTCTTTTTTATACATAGTCACGAACTATATTATATTTTTTTTGTTGTTTTGAATCTTAACATCAGTATTACCGGTGCGCCACACCGCGCAGTGACATTAAAACTAAATCACGAACACTTTTGCTGAGTGGCTGTACATCACGCAGAGAAATCTCACCCCCACTATTTCTTTGCCAAGGCCACACAAGCCAACTGTCCCACTTTTCTCCAATCCCATCAACACTCCTCGCATTCCCATCGTCAATTAAAACATCACCAACAATGGGAATTACCAGTACTCTTACTCACCGCCTTCTCACTTTATCTCGCCCTGGCTTGATACTCAATCGCGGTCTCAATGCGTGTATCATCCCCGTCTTCACCGTCACCAGCCGCTCTCTAGCCTCTGCAGCCGCTGCAAAGAAGCCCACCACAAAAACCGCAGCTGCCGCTACACCTAAGACCGCTCCAAAATCATCCGCGGGAGGAAGAACCAAAGCAACTGCCACCACCAAAGCTGCTGGTAAAACAGGATCAACTACTAAAAAGTCCACAACACCCAAGGCAGCCGCGAAAAAACCAGTCAAGAAAGTTGCGAAGAAGGAGCTCACAGATGAGCAGAAGAAGAAGATCTTGATCAAGCAGCTGAGGGCGAAGGCACTAAATCCCCCGTCCAAGGTTGGTAGCAATGGATATGCTCTGTGGTTTGGGGAACAGATGAAGGAGAAGAGGAGGCCAGCTGGCGAGCTCGCGATGATATGGAACGGAATGTCGCAGGACGTGAAAACTGTATGTTTGTCTTTCCGTATCTATTTGGCGGCTCTAAACCCACATCCTGATTATTCACTGACAATTTTGAACACAAGCCCTACATCAAAAAAGCTGAAGAAGCAAGGCCTGGAAAGGCCGAGGAATACAAGAAGTGGCTCCAGGGCATATCACCCTTGGTTATCCGCGAGGCCAACAATGCACGTCGTCGTCTCAAAGAACTTGGCGTCGGTTCAAATATTACCCAAATTTCAGATGACAGACTTCCAAAAAGAATTACAAGACCGCACTTCATGTATTTCCGGGAGCAGTATGGAACCGGGAGAAAGTTTTTGGATGCGGCAGGGAAGCCCAGCGTCGTAGTTGCCATCAAGGTAATGGGAGAGGAATATGAGAAGCTTCCGGTGGGCGAGAAGAAGGTATGTAAAATCTCCTGAGTTCGTGGGGGGGTAGTGTTAATGTGTGACAGCGTTTCGAGGATATGGTCAAGAAAAACAAGGAAGATTACGATGCCGCTATGGCAAAGTTGGAGAAGCAAAGGAATGCCTCAACAGCCTGATTGATCCCTCAGTCATTACCCTATTTACCTTTCCCCACGTTGATTAGTCTTAGTTTCGAAGCTTAGGTGGGAAATGAAATAAAACCGACCGAGGTGAAAACATTGGTTGATACAAGGATTGCCTCTTCGTGAAAGTTAAATATACTCTGCGGCTCATATGATAAGGACCATTTTCCCAATGCGTGGTTTTGAGATAAGACTTAATATGGTCCCTACACTTGCGATCCGTGTCATCGTACTTTAATTGGCGAATTCTAAGACAGGTTAGAGTTTGCAGTGTTCATCGCACTTCCTAGTTAATTTTTTGATCGTAGGCTGGTTTGTAGGTCACATATCTCAGTTCAGATTTTTTTGAGTGGAGATACCTTCCACCCCAACAAGGTGAGCAGGTGAGGTCCGGAGATGTATTTGATTACTCTTAGTTGCCGCAAATTCAATTAATCGCATTGGTATTTTGATATTGGAAGGATCTTTAATGCCTTGTTAATAATGAGTATCACGTGATGAAATAAATTACTAGTTAGTAACGTAGGTGATGCATGCAGGTGCATGTATGCTGCACCTACCTACATTGTTGTAACCACCTCCAAACATTGTTGACACCTCCTTCAGATCGCCCACAGTTCAAACCAGCGTCCACAGATCAGCTACAATCCCCTCCCAGTCCAGTCCCGCGGAGGTTTTGAACCCGATTGACAATCGATGGAGAACGGCTTTGGTGTTGAGGACCTTTTTCAAGATGACACGGCGCCGCGCACCTCACCGCGGAGAACCGATAGTAGGATGGACGAGCTCCGGCTCGGGGGTTGTAATCAGTCCGTCCACTCGCCTCCTCCTCATCCCCCGAGTGGCCTGCCGTGTGTGTGTGTTCATTGGAACTAAAGTTTAACCTACAGGAAGATAGCATGGTCGAAGCTCGGGTCGATAGCGATAATCAACGCCGCCGGTACGGGAGTCGAAACCCGCCATCTCTCGTGTTCGCCAGAGGACGGTCGCTGGCTGCTTAGTGACGCATACCCGGTCGCCAACGTATCACGGTACCACGAAGGGCAGCAGCTTACTCACGTCACCTGGAATAGCCATGGCGCTGAACTGGCCGTGATGGATAGGCTTGGGCGGGTGTCGTTCTATACGGTGTTTTTGGCGGTCAACCATCTGAATGTTACGCGGCATCAGATATTGGACCAAGACGACGATTTGAGCGCGCTGGTGGGGTTCTGGTGGTTGCCGGTTGAGAGAGCTGTATTTTACCCCTACTGCGGAGGGCGATGGAGGGTGCAGATGAGGGAGTGCTGACGGTGGGAGGTAGTATGCGCTGTATAGACCTGCGACAAGGCAAGAAGACCGGAGCTTTAGGTATCAAGCGTTTAGTTTCAGGCCCTATGGGCCCTTTCACCCCATTCAAGGGAAGGTGGCGGCGATTGGTATAACACGGGGAGGGACTGTATGTGTGCCACTGTAAATAATCTAGGAGAGAGCAGGTGCTGACAACAGCATGTTTAGGCCAAAATGTGGTACCAGGATGCACATAGTCGATATCAAGAAGTTACTACAGAGCTTGAAGGCTTTTCGTCACTCGATGACCTCTTCTCTCATGCCGCGATCTCATGGAATAAAGGTATCTTCCTCTTTTCTGCTCAAGTGCTTCAATCCAGATTTTTCGTCTGTAGGTTACTTTTGCGTGTGATTAAAGAGCTTACATCTCTGCCCAGACAACGTTGCGGTCTTAGCAGCCTACACCCTTTCCCACCAGCTTCGTGTATATCGGATCTCTATAAATTGGAATCTCCAACAGAACCCCCCAAATCAACCCCCCACAATGCTCCCGGCTCCCCCCACTCTCGAGATTAAGCACGTCAAAGTCGAGAACCACGCAATGCCCATGGAATCTGGTAGCCAAGATGCTTCGTCTGCGCAGCTATCGCATCTAGAAATCATGGCGCCTACTCCCGGCTCTCCAACGATCCCGAATGTACCTTGTGTACTAGCAGTATTCTCAAGCCGGCGTGCAGATGGGGAGGCTTTTAGTGTGGTGTGTAGATGGTGTCTCAAAGAGAGCCCGAGCACCTTGCATCCCTCCTTCGACCAGCTGGGCGTGAGAAGGAGTAGTGTTTCTAGTCCGACGAGCGTAGAGCTCGAGCTGTTTAGGATGGATGATCTCTTTATCCCCAAAACCATCATATCTGTTTCCCTTGTGACCTCCGGCACTGTTGTTGCCTTTGCCTTCTCAGATGGCTCCCTGGAGCTCCGTGACCGCTACAACTTCAACCTCCTGCAGAATCAGAGCACAAGTAAAGACCTGGTTGTGAATATGGTGCAGGCCGGGTTCTGGTTCCCGCCGGGAGAGGACTGCATTGACCTTGCGCTGTCCCCTAACAATGCAGTTGCGATCAGACTGGGATGCGACCACTCGATCAAGCTCATGGTCATGGAATACAACGGCAACATGCAAGAGGAGGAGAACATGGAGATCGCCTGCATAGCACTGGCGCACCAGCACGCATACAGCTGCAACAACCACCTCAACAACGACGACCTCCTGCTCGTCGCGCAGCAGTACAGGAACCCGGTGTTCAACAATATGTTTCTCTCCGAGGCCCACCATGCCCTGAACCTCAAGATGGACTTTGCAACCGAGTCGCCCTCCGAGCGCCTCTTCCGGAACCCGCTGCTGCAGCGCTGCCTGAGTCTGCAGAACAGCCTCGATTTCCAGGGCGAGCGCGTCAATAAGCGCCTCTCCGGGAAGCTGGCTTGGGCGACCCTGCACCTCCGCGTGGCGAGTGTGGCGTTTGCGCTGACGTTTAACAACCCGCAGCGCCAGCAGGGGGCGGGCGGGAGTAATGACTTTGATCTGCGCCCGGAGGCCCTGCAGACGCTGTTAGGCCTCGTGAGGTGGTTGATGGATATCATGAGCTTGACGATCAGTGATCTCTTTGAGCTGGCCAAGGCCACAAAGGGGAGAACAAGCGACCTTGCTTTCGTCCGCGAGAAAGGTACGTTCGAAACTTGTAGTAGTAGTAGTAGCAGGCCCTGTCTAGATTGAAAGTGTGCTGAAGACTATCTCCGTGCAGTCATTGAAGGGAACTCACCCGCGCTCTTTTTGGCACTGGCTAGTGCGCCGCGTGCGCTGCTGAGGTATAACTGTAGGAGCCTGAAGGGGCTGGAGACGACGGCTGGGAAGCAGCTGGCCATGCTGCAGGGCGGGCCGGTGGACGAGGAGCAGAGAACGACGTTCCGGAGCTTGAAGGTGCCGATTGAGAGCTGCGCGGTCAAGATTAGCCAGTTTGAGCGCATCATGACCGATATTGACGGCACGATCAGAGCGGCTTATCACAGTAAGTTTTCACCCCCCATCTCAAGCCTTCCAGGGTGTGCGCGGGTAATGAACTAGTTTAAAGACGTCGCCGAAGCCGAGCGCGCAAACGCCGAGAAGCTCCTCTTCGTCAACAACGAGATCCCGCCCATCTTCGCCTCCGCCGTCGAGCGGCTGCTCAACCTCACGCTGCCGACGCTGCGCAATGACCTCGACGTTGCAAAGCTGTTTTGGCACGACGTCACGTGGCTCGGCTTCCACGATGATGTCGCGAGCAGGGAGTACCGCAGGCTGAACAGGATCGATGCGATCAGGAAGGTGGTGCTGCCGAAGGGCGACGACAAGATTAAGCTGCGGAGGTGCACGAGGTGCTGTGCGGTGGTGGAGGATATCATTCCGATTAAGAGCCCGAGCTATTGGTTGGGGAGTATGCAGAGGATGTGTTTTTGTGGGACGCTGTGGATGCATATTAGTAGTCCGCCTTGAGGCGGTGGGGGAGGGGGGGAGGGGGAGGAGTGATGGGAAAGGGTGGTGTTCATGGACATTTGTGGAGTGTGGTTTGGTTGTTTATTAATTTATTTATTTTTATTTTTATTTTGATATATATTATAGGCTGTTTTTTTCAATGGATTCTGTTCTGTGCTGTTTAGCGGCCCGTGGTTTCTGGTCCATGGAGAGACTGGCGGGGTACATGTAGGTGGTGTAGGTATTGGAGAGGCGAACTTGGCTCTCTATACACAGCTCATCACTCGCTGCGAGGAGGGTAGGGATCAGGGTTACATAACCCCATTGGCCGTAGTTGGAGATACAGTAATTTAATTACGCATGGAAGAAGGAAGTTCTACGTAGAGATTCTGCATGCGAGTCCTGAGCTGGACGCAGACGAAGGTCTCTTTCTTCTTTCTTGAGTTGGGCTGGGCTGGGCTGGGCTGGCGGAGGTGTGTGGGTGTATAGGTATATATGGTGCTGTTTGAGGAAACCCCGGCTGCTTTCTCGGCGTTATGTTGTGGCTAAACCCCCTCCTACATATTGGTATTAAGAGTTTTGGGTCGTTGAGCCGGTATTGCGCGTGTCTGTGGTAGAATCTGTTGAGGGCGACCCTCTCGACCGTGCCGGTAGTCGCCGCGCCAGTGGAGCCAGCATGGAGGTCGATTGGGTCTCCCCGGATCCTGTTTGTATAAATGTATGTAACGCGCCGGATGTGTTATCTGCAGTGTAGTACTTGTGTCCTCTGTGAGCCCCGGGGGACTTGTCACGCGCAGCGCGAGTTAGTCATGGAGTATCACTCGATGACTGCGCGGTCTAGTGGCTGCGAGTGATGGGCTGTGATTATTATTACCCGCGGGCATCGCGTCTTCTATCGGCTAGACAGGGGTCGTCTTTGGGTAGATGTGTAGGTGATGGGGTGAAGGGGCGTCTTTATTGTCCGCGTAGCGCTATGTCTCGGGGAGAGGGGGGGTTATGGGGTTGTGGGGCCCGGGGTTGGGGCGGCTGTGGGGGCGTTGGGCGTGCGGGCGTGCGGGCGTGCGGTTATCCAGCCAGCTGCGCGGTGTCGGCCGCAATGTCAAACTGCAAAACTAAATCCTGAAATCCTGCCTTTGTTTGCTCGCCCGACCGGGTATGCGGACTGGGGGGCCTGGCGAGAGAAAAAGAAAAACTCTAATACTGACTTCCGGCACCCGCCTGGATTACTATGGGCATGTAGGAGTATATGGGCTGGGTTTGGCTCCTAGGTTGGCTTGGGGGTACTCTGCTGTCTTTAGGGCTGCACCTTCCTGCTCTAACTTTCCGGCTGTAGCCAGGCCCCCGTTAATATGGGGAGAAATCTGGCAGGCTCGGCGTTTGGGAAGGGGGGGGGGGGTTTGAGGCGGTGGACCTGGACCTTCTACAGGAGGTGCTACACTGACTTTCTAGCTTAGGTTTGATGCCTATAGGATACGATCATAAGGTCTTGTAACTGCTGTTGGACCCAGCATAAAGACAGACAGCATACTTGGGTTGGTGGAAGCCCAGCTACGAGTACTCGACTGCTGGTGCTGCTGTAGGCTAGTCTGGGTAGACATGTACACACATGTAACTGGGACTCGGCGTGGTGTGTCGAGTTTGGTATTGCTTGGGATGTCTAGAACCTACGAAAGGACTGCTCATGAAGTATCTCGTCGAGCTCAGAGTTTAGTAGAAGGGCTGGGTACAGACAGCATGCGCATCTAGTTAGGAGTATGATTCCGGCGGTGATAGGCTTCATGTGCTTCATTCACCCGGCAAGGAAAGTTGGGCGCTCTAAGCTTTATTTACTCTACAGGACTAGCATATCAACACTAAACCTTGAAATTGAAGAGAAAACTATCTCATCATGTATATACAAGAAGGTGGCCAGTGAGTACGTTCGTGGTGGATTGTGACTACAGGGTTACTAGGTGTCCCCCTACTCACTTTTTCCACTCACTCACTTAAATATTACTTCCCGGCCCTATAGTTGTGCAGGCGAGGTAGCCTAGTGGTAGACGCCTCGTCTTGCTACACCGCGTGGGTTGAGCCACCATGACCACCCAGAGACGTCTGGGTCCGGAGACGTCCGGAGGTCGGGGGTTCAGCTCCGGGGGTGGGAGTGATACTCGGGAAGTACGACATTTTCACGGGAAGCAGCGTTCAATATCTCGAATTAGAACCTGTGGACCGTGGGTGGCGTATAGTCGCAGCATCAACTTTTTGTGTATATTTATTACCCATTTTTTTTTCTGAAGGGGTATGAAGAGGAAGGGCCTTAGTGGGGTATGTATGTGTGATATCGATTGGAACTCTACAATTAATTGCAGATTGAACTACATGTATTTGGCTAATCGGTCTCCAGGGCCGGATGTAGGATTAGGCCGGCCGGTTTAGCGAAACTCTTCCAGGCCATATTCTTTTATAGTATAGTAGATATCCGGACGCAGTAAAGAAAAAAAAAAGAAAAAAAGTCTCCAGCTCAATTCAACGAAACTCCCCAGTTAAGATATACCAACAATTACCCCATCCCATCTACAACTTTGCCAACAACCCCAACCACTCCTCCCCCAGAACCCTCTCCCTCACCACCCCCTCATCCTTCTCCACCTCCTTCCCCCACCTCTTCACCAGCCTCACCAAATACCTCGCCGCCAGCGCCGCCGTCTCGCCCGGCGCCTCCATCGGAACAAGGTGTCCGGCGCCCTCCACCATTTCCATCTCCGCCTTGGGCGTGTTCTCCATCTTCCGCTGGTTCACCTCCGGTATGCAGACCGTCGACTCGCTGCCGACAATGTAGAGCACCGGCGGAACAAGCTGCTTCAGCGCCCGGAAGGTCACGCCCGGCTCGGGACGCCCGAGGGTACCGTCAGGCATGCGCCGGAGGAAGGTGTACACTTCCTGGTGCTTTGTCGTTGCGAGGGTGACGCCGGTGGCGTCGGGGTAGATTGCGGTTGGGAGCGCGCGGAAGCCGTGTTTCTGCCCATCACCGGCGGTCAGCCAACCATCCAATCCCAATCCAGAGCTCCGCCAAACACAAATCTACAAGGACATACTAGATACAGCTCCACCACTCTCGGATCCCAGCGCTTATAAAACGGCCTCCCCCTAATAAACCTCTCCGCCTCCTCCATCCCGGCCCACACATCCCTCCTCCGCGCCGTCGCCGCCGCCGGATGACTGGCCACGTGCGGGAAGCGCTCATTCTCCTCCACCACGGGGTCCAGCAGCACCAGCGCCTCAAACAGCCCCGGGTGCATCAGCGCCGCCCTGACCACCGCATGCCCGCCAAAGCTGTGGCCCACGCCACGAGCGGCGCCGGCATCTGCGCGGCAAACGTGTTGACGGCGTGGAGGACGTCGCGCGGGAGGTCGTTCCAGGAGGGCTCGTCGCCGAGGTGGCGCTCGTTGAGGATGCCGGAGGCGCCTTGGTGCGCGGCGTCGAGCGCCCAGATGGAGCGGATGCGCTGGCTGCTGGCGCTGTAGGCGGAGTGCAGGTCGGTGAAGAAGGGCTCGTAGAGCTCTTTGGGGAAGCCGTTGGCGTGGCAGAAGAGGAGGGTTAGGTCGCCTGGGGAGGGGGGGGTGGCGGAGAGGGGTGTGTATTGGTTTATGACGAGGTGGAGGCGCGGGGAGTGGGGGGTGGTGCCGCGGAGGTGCTCGCGGGGGTAGGAGGCGGGGATGGTGTGGGTTGTTGTGGTGAAGGCCATGGTTTTGGGGGGGGGGGGGGGGGTTTGTTTGATCAGCTGCTTCTTGTTCTTCTGCTTGTTCTTTTGCTTCTCCTTCTTCTCCTTCTTCTTCTTCTTCTTGCTCTGGAGAGGAGAGGAGGAGAGGTAGGGGACGGCATTGGATTGGGGGCATGTGCTGCTCGATGTTTTGATGTCCCGAGGTCGAAGGTTGCTGCGGCAGGGGTGAGCGAGCGAGCTAGTGATAAACACTGTAACCTGTGTATGTACAGCCGCATTTGAAAAGTATTGGCACCTCCGAGCCCAAACTCACGAGGCAGTCCTTTCTGCTTTCAATTCTCATATTCGAGACAATTGCCAGAGAGAGCTGCAATGTCTCTATTGCGGTCATACCTATCAATAAGTTGAGTATGCGCGAGTGCCATGAACGACTCAATATAGTAGGGTGCGAGTACTTTTCGAGTGCGGCTGTACATAGCATCACTACAGGTGCTCGTATCAGCTGGAGTCAATGAGCTGCAATTCCATTAACCGCATGATAGACCGTTCGTAGCCGTAGCAGAGTACATGTATGTACCTACGCACCCTCACACGGCTGCAGCCAATCGTTGTCTCTCTCTCTGTGCCATTCCGTCGATTCTATTGACTGTTTCCCATCCTGTAGGTACACAGACAGCCATCCATCATCTACCTGTATCTCAGGGGAACACCAATCTCAATATCAATCTCAATATCCAAATACTATTCCAGACCCCAGAGCCTGCCTGCACGATGAGTAATTAACCACACTGGTACTGCTGCTGCTGCTGCTGCTGCTGCTGCTGCTGCTGCTGCTACTACTACTGCTACTGCTACTACTGCTACTACAGTACTGTACTTACCGTAGCCAGCCAATGAAATCACCACACAGCCAGGATCAGATCGCGCAACTCACACGCACGCGTCCTCCCGCAGCAACGCCATCCATCCATTCCCGGCGCGTCTTCCCGGTTCCTCTCCCTTCTTCTCTGGGCATTGGTTGGGACGTCACTGCTGCTGTCTTCGTTCTGCACTTTCACTTCCACTCCACTCCACTTCACTTCACATTCAACACTCTACACTCGCTCTCTCTCTAGATCTCTCTGCACTAGAGATATTCACAGATACGGATACTGACACTGCAAACGCTACTACTACGAAGACTACGAATACCACGAACACTAGACATAGATAATCCGGGCGAGCTCTACACCTAGCAAGCCAACATGGAGACCCCCGCCCCCGCCGCCACAACCACGGCCACCACAGACCCCGACCCGCAAACGCCCCCCCCCATCTTCGCCGACGTCGTCTTCCACCTCGTCCCCTCCGATACCCTCCCCCCCTCTCTCGCCGCCTCCGTACGTCCCCTCCCTCTCCCATCCCCTCCCTCTCTGCCCCCAGCCCTCTTCCCCAACTGACATCTACCGCAGACCACCAAACTCCTCACGACCTCCGGCGCCACCCCCGCCACCCCACTCGACTCGCACATCCGCATCGACCTCGCAAGCGTAACGCACATCGTCAGCACCACCGTCGACTTCCCGGGCTACACCGAGGCAGAGCGGTTCATGATCCCCGTCGTCACCCCCGCGTGGGTCACAGCCTCGCTGGATAAAGGGAGGATGGTCCATGTGCGGCCGTACAATCCCGACCCGCGCTTCTTCTTCTCGGGCGTCATGGCGACGGTCGCGGAACTGCCGGAGGGCGATAAGGAGGCGATTTGTGGTGGGGTGGTGGCGATGGGGGGGCAGTATACGGGGCACTTGACGAGGTTTACGACGCATGTGGTGGCGTTGAATATGGATAATGTATGTTCTTTTTGTAGGATGCGGTGCTTTATGGTACATGTTTTGGGGCGAGGAGTGCTAATGTACAGTGCGAGAGATGTAGGACAAATGCAGACAAGCCCTTCGCAAGAACCTCAACGTCAAGATCGTCCTCCCCCACTGGTTCGACGACTGCCTCAAGCTCGCCCGCCGCATCCCAGAGGACCCCTACCTCCTCCCGGACCCCGAAATCACCCGCGTCCCCTCATCAGCCCCCATCCCCCTCCCGCAGGGGCCCGACCTCACCTACTCACACGACCGCCGCCCCCCGCCTCTCGACGGCGCCTCCGAGGACCCGCCCACCCCGCGCCCATCCTTCTCCGCGTTCGACGGAAAATCAGTCTTTCTCGCCCCCGACCTCGACATCTCACTCCGCCTGCGCGGCGTGCTCGGCGAGGTGATCCAGGGCGCCGGAGGCGCTATGGTGAGCGCTGTGGAAGATGCGAGTGTACTGGTGTGCCAGTTCCGCGCGGGGACAGACTACAAATATGCGCTTCGCCGCGGGCTGGAGATTGGGAACCTCACATGGCTGTACTGGATCTTTGCGCACAGCACATGGGCGTCGCCGCTGCGGCGGCTTCTGCACTTCCCGCTGCCGCCGGGCGGCGTGCCGGGGATGCAGGGGATGATCATCACGGTGAGCAACTACGGGGGCGACGCGCGGCTGTATCTCGAGAACCTTGTCGAGGCGTGCGGCGCGCGGTTCACAAAGAGCATGAAGGCCGAGAACACGCACTTGGTGACGGCGCGGGAGCATAGTGAGAAGTGTACGGCGGCGAGGGAGTGGAATATCAATATGGTGAACCACCTGTGGCTCGAGGAGTGCTATGCGAAGGGCACGGTCATGAGTCTGGCGAATAGACGGTATGCGATGTGGCCGCCGCGGACGAACCTGATGGAGGTGGTGGGCATGACGGGCGTGGATGTGGGCGCGCTGGAGGAGGAGGATAGGGATGGGGAGGCGGCGGATGCGATGAGTGTGGATGGGGATGGGGACGGGGCGGAGGAGGACGCGGTGGTGAGGGGCGCGAGCGGCCTGGCGATCAGTGAGCGCAAGGAGGAGGCGCCGCCGCCGCCGCCGCGGCAGCAGCAGCAGCGGCAGCAGAGGGTCTCGACGCCGTCAAGGTGGAGCAGAGACATCGAGGCGCCGCAGTCGGTGTCGTCGAGCGGGCGCAAGGCGAAGGAGGCGGCGGCGGCACGGCTGCACGACTCAATCATGCCCGATGTGATGAAGTACCAGCAGGAGCTGAAGCGGAAGGGCGGGGTGATGGGGACGGGGCGCAAGCGGCGCACGGGCAGCTTTGGCGACATGGCGTCGATGGGCGCGGATAGTGGCAGTGAGGGCGAGGGGTGGGGGGGAGGAGCGGCGGCGCGAAGAAGGTGAAGGTTGCAGCGGCAACGGCACAGGGGAAGAGGGTGAAGCCGAAGGTGTTTTTGCTGCTGACGGCGTACAAGGGCTGGGTGGAGAATCCGGGGAAGGAGGAGAGCGATAAGGTATGTCCCCTGTCATTGTTTCTTACATCAATGGGGAGCTGGGCTAACCATGGTGGACTACCTACAGAGAGGCCTAGCAGCACTTGGAATCCAGTGCGTCGCTGACCCCGCCGTCTGCACGCATCTCGCCGCACCACACATCGTGCGCACGGAGAAGTTCTGCTGCGCGCTCGCACGCGCGCCAATCATTGTCTCAACAAGCTGGATCAGCGCCTGTCTCTCCAGCTCCACCATCGCCGACACCACGCCACACCTGCTGCACGACCCCGCCGGCGAGCAGAAGCTGAACATGGTGCTCTCCGAGTCGCTGTCGCGCGCGCGCGCCAACGCCGGAAAGCTGCTGGCGGGGCAGACGATCTATTGTGCGCCGAATGTGCATGGCGGGTTCGAGACGTACCGCAAGATTGTGGAGGCGAATGGGGGGGTGTGTGTGGCGTTTAGGATGGCGAAGAGGGTTGTTTCTGCGGAGGGGAAGGGGAAAGAGGTGGAGGAGGAGAGGTGGGTGTTGCTGAGTAGTGATGAGGAGGGGGATCGGAAGTTGTGGGGGGCGTTTGCGAGGATGGTGAAGGGCGCGGGAGGGACACCGGTGGTGGTGAAGACGGATTGGTTGTTGGATGCGGCGATGGGGCAGAGGGTGAGGTGGGGTGGGGGGTATGAGTTTGAGAAGTAGTGAGGGGGAGGGGGGTAATGGTGGTGGGAGGGGAGGGGCGGGGCGGATAGGGGTTTTCTACTGTAGTTTAGTTAGATAGCATGGCCGTATATCCAATTCGATTCCTTGTTAGAAGTGCGGGTGTGGGGGTGTGTGTGTGTGAGTGCCTGTGCCTGTGCCTGTGCCTGTGCCTGTGTCTGTGAGGGTTGGTATGCGAGTGAGTGTGCCTGTGCCTGTGAGAGTGTGTGAGAGTATGAATGTGCCTGTGAGAGTTGGTGTCTGTGAGTGGGGGAGGGGGGGGGGGGGGGATGTGAGGGCCCATGAACGAGTGGGTGAGATGAACGAATGGGCGAGGGTCCCTGTACAGTAAGCGAGTGAGCGTGACAGCGGGTGCCTGAGTGAGTGAGTGTGAGTGTATTCCTTCTTCCCTTCACTTCTGTGCAACAACCCAGATGCAGGGATCAATGATCAGAGTGCGGTTCTCGGTTCCCCACACACAGCTCACACACGTCATTCACGGGGTATTGGCTGATGGTGGACAGGGCACGACAGTACTCTTCCTTGATTGACTGACTGACTGATTGCTCTTGATTGGCCCTGCAGCAAGGCAAAGGCACAGTACCTACAGTCTGACCTGTCATTGGCCCCCCCCCGCCCGTTTGGCTGGGCTGCAGAATACGTGACAGTTGCCAGCTAGCTTGAAGAAAACGAAGCTTGGGCCACACGTGCTCTCCACCACACAGCAGAAGGAAAGACAATCACTCACAGCACTCACAGCAAATTCACAGAACGGCTCTGTCGGAGGCTGTCTATTCGGACCCCTCAGAGAGAGATAGAGTAATTATCACTTCTCTCCTGCTTCACTTCTATCTCCTCTTGATCTATTTCTTCTCAATCTATCCCCCCCCCCAGATCTACCCCCCAGATCTATCTCCCCACTCACACCTCCCTCCCACCGCATGTAAGGAACGGCCCCTCGATGCCTCGCTCCCCGCCACGCCTCCTCTCGGCCCTCCTCGCCCTCTCGCTACTCCTCGTCCTCGGCGCACGCCTCTTCCCCCCACTCCGCTACCTCCTCTGGAGCTTCCTGCTCGGCGGCGCCTGCACCCTCCTCGGCCTGCTGGCTCTGCTGGCCCTCACCGCCAATCAACACCCCCCCGACAGCGCCCTCCGCACCATCAAGCCCCTCGCCTTCACCCACCCCACCAAGTGGACCGCTTCCCTCGACGCCCTCACCACCGCCGACACCTTCCACCGCACACCCCTGCACCCACCCTCCTTCCTCCTCTCCGACACGCTCGACTCCCTCATCGACACCATCCTCCGCACCTTCGTCACCTCCTGGTACCGCAACATCACCCCCGACCCCTCCTTCCCCACACACCTCGACCGCACCATCCGCCACGTCCTACAAACACTCCAATCCCGCCTCGCCCCACTCGACCTCGTCTCCATCACCGTCTCGCGCATCGTCCCCCTCCTCACCGCGCACCTCCACGACTTCACCGCCGCAGAGCGCCTCGTCCGCGGAAAGAACCTCAACAAGAACCTCACAGAGAGCGCCGAGCTCGACCTCGCCATCGCCGCAAAGTACCGCGAGGGCCGCCTCCACCCCGCCGCCGGCCTGCGCAACTCGGACACGCACGCCGCGCAGACGGCGCATCTGCGCAGCCTCGTCGAGCGTGTCCTGCCGCACCTGCTGCCCCAAGAGGAGCTGGCGTCGCCGCTCGTGCGCGTGCTGGTGCGGGAGCTGGTCGCGGGCGCGGTGCTCGCGCCTGTCTTGGCTATGCTGGCCGAGCCGGACTTTTGGAATCAGTTTGTCGAGGCGATCGTAGGTTGGCCATTGAGCTTCCTCTGCAGAACGGGCTAATGGCTAGGTGTGTGTGTCTAGGGCCGCTCCACACTGCAAGACCGCAAGACCGTGCGCAAGCTCCGCGCCGCACTCGACCAGCACGCCACTCCCGCCGCAACCAAGCGCTCCTCCTCCTCCTCAACGGCCGGACAACAGGCGCCGCAAAAACCGTTCGTGCGCCTCGGCCCCAAAGACGACGAACGCACGTTCGAGCGCTTCATCCGCTCCATCCGCCTCTGCACGAACCTGAGCGACGCGCGGCGGCTGCGCAACGAGATCAGCGCGCAGCTGAAGCGCGATGGGCGCGTGGAGGGGAACGAGGGGTGGGCGGTGTATCTCAAGCGCCTGGAGACGGGCAAGCGGGTTGTGGACCAGAAGGTTGCGTCGTTGTCGGCGGCGGCGGCCGGGGGAGGGGTGGGAGGAGGAGCGGGAGCGGGAGCGGGTGGGGGGGGACCGGGGGGACCGCTGAGGAGTATGAGTGAGACGTTTGTGGGCGGGAGGAAGGCACCGAGTCGGTTGGAGAGTGCGACGCTGGATCAGGTGTTGAGGGACTCGGCGGGGTTGTCGTATTTCATGGTATGCGCTCATTCACTCCTACATCTACAGCTCTCTCTGTAGCTTTCTATAGCCCCCCCCCCCCCCTCTTACAGCTCTCTACGGCTTCCTCTGGGGAGCTCTAGACTCTCGGGGAAGGAAAATAGCTAATTGACCCAACTACTACTATCTACAGGAACACATGGACCGCCAAAAGCACCTCGCCCACGTCCAATTCTGGCTGGTAGTCGACGGCCTCCGCAACCCCCTCGAAGAAGACATCACCTCCAGCGACTCCGAATGCGAGTCCGTCTCCACCACCACAACCTCCATCCCCCCCTGGACCCCCTCCGACCGCAACGACCTCGCCCAGATTCATGACGCATACCTCTCCATCCCCGAGCTGCACATCAGCGACCGCTCGCGCGCAGCCGTCAGCGAGTTCCTGGCCGCCGGAAGCAAGGCAACACAGGCGCAGTATGTCAAGGCCCGCGCGGCGATCCTGCGCGCCCAGACGGGCGTGTTTGAGGAGATGCAGAAGAAGGACTTTGTGGACTTTCGCGCGAGCGGCCTGTTTTATAAGTATCTTGCCTCTGACGAGGCGGGCGCCGCCGCTGGGGCGTCCGCGGCGGCAATGGCAACGGTAACGACAGACCTGCACCGGAGCAGTAGCTGGACCGATACCGCGCACGCTGCCACTAGCACTTCCTCGCCCACCGATCTCACCACCATGGAAGACTCGCTCAGCTCCTCGCGGCACTCGCTCGACGGCCCCAGGGCGGAGCTAGATGACTGGGACCAGGACGCACTCAGCGCCTCCCGCACCTCCCTCGAAGACCGCCGCAACAGCGCCAACGGCACGCCCGAGAACGGCATCGTCGAGGCCATGGAGGCCGCGCTCAACGACATCATCGAGTCGCGCCCCACCACCGACGACGCCCTCCTCACCCGCGACGACACCAACAGCTCCCCGCGCAGCAGCATCGACCTCCCCCTCCCCCCCCCCAACCCACCACCACAAAGGCCGCCAAGCCCAAGGCCGCCAACGCCAAACCGCCATCCATCAGCTCGCTCGGCCTGGTAGGGGGCAGCACCCGCGACGCCGTCTTTGCGGACGAGCTGTTCCCCGACGACGACGCGCCCGAGTATGCGTCCGACCCGTCCGGCGGCGAGGAGGAGGACGACGACGACGGCGTGGTGCATCAGGCGGCGCCCGGCGACCTCGGGCTGGCGGAGGCGATCAGTGCGCTGAGCTTTGATATTGGCAAGTTGGGGGGGCAGGAGGCGGTGGTGGAGAGTCTGCTGAGGAAGGCGGAGCTGACGGGGAATGTGGTTGAGTTGCGGATTTTGAGGAAGAGTCTGGCGAGTTTGCAGAGGGAGGTGAGGAGGAAGGAGCTGCAGAGGCAGATGTATATTGTGCAGGAGAGTGATAATGGGTTGTTTGTGAGTTTTTTTTTTTTCCTTTGCTGTTTGTTGTTTGGTGGTGGTGGTGGTGGGGGATAGAGGGTGCTAATAGTGTTGTGTCTGTCTACAGGGACGATCAACCATCCGCATCAAAAGCACCATGGTCGGCAACGAGAACGGGCAAGAGTACGCACTGTGTAAGTCTCTTCTTCCTCCCTGCTTATCCATAGTCTTCTTCCCCCCCTCCATACCTAATTCCCCCGGCCTACACCAAAAACCTGCAGTAACGATCATTGACTCCCTTGCAGACATAATCGAAGTGCAACGAAAAGGCGGCGAACAGATGCCGGCGGCCCAATGGGCCGTGGCCCGCCGCTACAGCGAGTTCTTCCAGCTCAACCAGGCCCTGCGCGCGCGCTTCGACTCGGTCAAGGCGCTCGACTTTCCCCGCCGCCGCGTGGTCATGAAGCTCCAGAAGGACTTTCTCGAGAAGCGGAGGGTCGCGCTGGAGAAGTACCTCAAGGTCTGTCTAACCTTCTTGCGGGTGGGAGTATGTTGTGCTGATGAAGAACATTATTAGTCTGTGTTACTGATACCCGACGTCTGCCGCTCCCGCGAGCTCCGCGCCTTCCTCAGCCAACAAAGCATCGCCCCGGCGCTACCGGGCTCCCCCTCCTCCCGCCGCGCCGGCAACGGCACAAGCGGCACCGACATCATCAGCCGCCTCTACAGCACGCTCGCCGACGGGATGGAAGACGTCCTCGGCACACTCCCGCCGCTGCCCACCGACACCTCGTCGTCGTCGTCCAAAGCACGCGTCGACGCAGCAGAGGCCGAAAAGGAGCTCAGCGCCTTCGAGGACAAGGAGCTCGAGCCGTTCGTGAAGCCCATCTGCGACCTCTTCCTCGAGGTATTTGAGCTCAACCGCGGGCGCAGCGGGTGGCTAAGGGGTCGGGCCGTCGTGGTGGTGCTGCATCAGCTGCTCGGGGGCACGATTGAGAGGAAGGCGAGGGAGCAGGTCAGGGTCGTGACGGGCGAGGAGAGCGTTATTGGGTATGTGAAGATGCTGAGGGAGGCGTTGGTGCCAGGGGTGGAGAGGAAGGTGAGGACGCAGAAGGAGAGGGTGAGGACGAGGGAGCAGGCGGGGGCTATGTTGGCGACGTTGTTGCCTGGTGAGTTTTTTTTCCTATTCCTTTTTTCTCTTTTGGATATGGTGCTTGCGGGGTGCTGGGAATGTTTTTTTTTTGGGGGGGGGGAGGGGGCGGGGTGTGAGTGAGTGAGTGAGTGAGTGATGGGTGGTGATGCTGATGTCGGGTGGTGCGCGTAGATGTGGCTGCGAGTGTGGTGGGAAGAGCTAATGCGCAGGCCGCGGGGCGGAGACTCTTTGCTGCGTTTAACAACCAGCGTTTGAAGTGAGTCCACCGCATCTATTTCTTTCTTTCTTTCTTTCTTACCCCACATCACTACATCGTCTACTATTGAGCTGACAGCCCACAGTACATCAATCATCTACGCCATCGTCGACGAGATTGTCGCCGCTGTTTTTAACGATCCCAAGCAGCCGTGATACATCTCTCTCTCTCTCTCTCACCCATGCACCCACGCACCCACGCACTCTCTCTTTCTTTCTTTCTCTTAATGAACGAACGAAACGAATGAAATGACATGACATGACATGAACTGAATTGAATTGACCTGACCTGTATGTATTTTTTTGTATAGTAAAAAAAAAGGGACGGAAAGCGGCGGGACGAAAAAGGGGAATTAAACAGAGAGAGAGCTGAACAAGGGGGAAAAAAGCCTGGGGGAACTGGACTGGACTGGACTGACAGACAGAGAGTATAATCGTGTGTGTTATCCATTAGACAAAAGAAAATTAATATTTAGAGTTCTTTTTCCCTTTTATTTTCTCTCTCTCTTTCTCTCTCAATTTTTACCCTTACTTTTCTTTCTTTTGAGATTGAGATTTGCGTTAACTTTACTTTGCTTTACTCGAAAAGATGAGGGAGGATAGAGATGGAGAAAGAGAAAGCCTGTATGTGTATATGTGTGCGTCTCTGTGTGTGAATCAACTCACCAACACAGAGAGAAACAAAATGCCATTGATGATATGGTGCGATAGATTCTTAGAACAGAAGGCTGAAAAGAAAAAAGAAAAGTAATAAAAAAAGCTCGGTCATTATATACGTGGTCTGCGGTCACATATATCATATTGCAGCCCCCACCCCCTTACCGTACCCCCTACCGTTTGCCACCAAGCCCTAACATTATAAACGACATAAAAGGTATTGCCAAGAAGATGGATGGAAATGTTGCATAAAAAAAGAAAAGGAAACAGGCGCCCCGTCACCCACCACCCTTCTCCCCCCTTCTCCCTCTCCCTAAACCAACCAACTCTAGCGGCTTGCTCTCAAAGTTTCATCGGCCGCTTTGTGACGAGGTGTCTGAGGCTGGTGTAGAAGGCTCAATCACTTGGTTGCGAATGGTAAGAATCTACAGCCACGTGATGTGAGTCATTGCAATCCCAAAAAGTGAGCGCGAGAGCGCAAAATACATACCCATTCATGTTGAAGAAGCTCAGCAGCTGATGGCCGAATAGCAGGATCTTTCTCAAAGCACTTCTTCAGAAAGTCAATCCCGGGCTCACTAAGTTGATCCGAGGTTGGTAGTTGAGGCGCTGAACCGCCAGCAATATTCCACATGATGGCCCATTCATTGTCAAGGTTTGCCCACGGTCTACGGCCAGTCGCCATCTCGAGGACAACACAACCTAGAGACCATATGTCAATACTGCCATGTCGGCCTTTGTCGGTCCCCGTAATAACTGTTGAAGGTCAGCGAGATTTCTGGAAGATAACGTAACATATTCAAGGGTAACTACCTTCAGGAGACATGTACATTGGTGTACCAGTCATGCTGTTCAACTTTGTTTTCAAGGCTGCAGTCCCTGCTCCTCGAGTCTTTCCTTGCCTTGCGATTACTTTGGCAGCGCCAAAGTCAACATACTTGATGATGCCGTTGTGATCCAACAAAATATCTACGTGCATATCTTAGCATCGACTTAGGAAAAGGGTTTGCACCTGGAGAATAACTTACTTTCGGGCTTGATATCACGGTGTATGATCCCATTTTCGTGTAGATACGCAAGACCTTCCAACATTTGAAGGGCGTAGATCATGATAACTGTCTCGTCCTCGATCCTGCCGTGCTCAAGGAGTCCTGCAAGAGAACCACCAGAACAATATTCCATAAAAAGGCACACTTTATCACGATGAACCTCGATTCCAAAATATTGGACGATATTTGGGTGGTCCAATAATTCTAGGACTTGCATCTCCTCGCGAATTGCGTTGGCAATCTGCGGAATCATTTGAGGGTCTTGAAGCCGAATTTCCTTTACGGCCATCAAGTAGCCCGAGTCCAGATTCATCGCCGCATATACCGTACCAAATGTGCCTCCACCAACAAACTGGCCCTGTTGCCAACGTAAGGATACGTTGGAAAACGACGATTTCGAAAGTGATGTTAGTGATCTATCCGTTTGATTGCTATCATCGAGAACCCTTCCTAAAGCTTGTCGTTCACGCATGAGATTCTTACGGACATCATCGATCTCCGTGAGTTGCCGCAGCCACTCTCCCCGCACACGTTCAGCTGCCTCGTTATCTTCCATCATTTTTCCAAGGTCTACACCCTTCAAGGAGCCTGCCAAAACCTCCATTCGCTGTTTTTCGGCCTGGGCGGCAAGCGTTGATCGAGCACCCATGATATCAAAATGCGAGATGAGTAGTGACATACACCCGCCAACCTTGGAGCGTAATCTTTCGTACTCTGGCTCGCTAAAAGACAATATGTTTTGGCCACGAGTCATGACCATCGCAAACTCGAGAGCCTTCACTGCCCATCGAAAGGTCATACGGTTAGAAGCAACACAGTCATCACAGATGAAGCTAACCCAGTCGATTGCAAGACGAGTGAGCTTGAGATTGTTCATGGCCTTTCGGTTGTTATCCATGTAAAGAACAGAACGCTGACCGAACTCAGTCGCGAATGCAAAACAAGTTTGAATGAGCTCCTGACACCCCAGGCCCATGGTTTGTCGTCGAATTTTCTCCACACTGTCCATAATGGTGTTGGAGAGCCGGTAAGTGGTCTTTTTGATTTTCATCAACTCCTGGTTAACTCGGGGAAGGTTGGCTCGTTGTTCTATCAATATGTCGAGATTGTGGCCCGTAGAGTGATCGAAAGCGATGCGAGCGTTCGCAAGCCTGGCCTGAGAACCATCGGCGACCAATCGAATTCTTCCAGGCTTGATATCGACAATTGGCTCTTTCATATCGACACTCAGTATGCGGCCATCCCATTGCAGCTCATCCTGGGGATAGATAACTAAGATATAGGGGCATGACGGGTCGTCTCTAACGACGTCATCGTGAAAACACGTTCGAAGGATGGACTGTATTTGATGAGATCGATCATATAGAGATGGATCGGCCACTAGATATACTCCTTCGTGCTCAACACTCGCTGTATAAACCAAGAAGTGGCCTGACTCAATCAACGAATCCACAAGTCTTCTTAGCTTGAATCTTTCAACACTATATTCTGTTGCGTTCTCAAACCGCTGGCTCAGTAGTCTATACGTATAGAGTCAGCTCAGTAGAGTGCACATTCCACAAAATTGAGTTCACCTTGCAAATCGAAATAACTTTCTCTGGCGAACGCGGACCGAGTCTAAAGTCTGCTTGTAGCGTTTACTAATGTCCTCGCCCCTGTTTTCTGGTGGTTTTTGAAGCTCTTTCTCGAAATGGCCCATCAAACGACTCAAAAGCTTACTCGTTAGAGAACTAAAGATTGTCAGACATTATAACCAGAACTGGATTTGTGAGATAGAGCTAAACGCAGCGCACCTAAACTGCTCGGCAACCTCAACATCTCCTCCCTCAATAAAACGACCAATCTCGTTCGAAAAATGCCATTCTGTTTCAAGAATTTCGGCTTCTTTAAATGTATTCTTGTTCGATCCGATCCTCCAACCTATAAGCTTGAAATAGTATCTCAACCCTTGTAGCACGACTTGCTCAAAATTTTCATCCATGCAAGGTGGCAAGTCCCACCCAGGCTCGGGCTCAGAAATGACCGTATACTCTTGTTTGATCTTCACTGCCAGTTGCAGCACAGACTGAAACTGCATTATTAGCTGATCTGTCATCATGGATACCGGCTCTCTCATCCGTTCGGCGTATTTCAAACGCATCCCAATGACCTCTTCAATGAGCCGCGTAGGGAAACCGATTAGAACAAGCAGTTCTTCGACATATGGCGGAAGATGTCGCTTCTCGAAAGCATCTGCATACTCTATCAAAGTTTTCTTTGCCTTTCCGATGACAGAGCTCAGTCCAATGAGCATATTACTATCCCCAATCAACGATTTCAGATTATCCTCCTTCAAGATGCGATCAAGAAATGAAGCCTCCCGATCGATCCCATTAGCATCGCTAGTTGAAATAACATTTTGGCGACCGAAATCAAGGTCATCGTTTCCGACCCAATTTTGAAGGATCTTGAGCTCGGTATTAATGAGTTCCGTGATATTATGCCAGGAAACAATTGCATCCCAGCTGGCAGCAAACGCCGGGGATCCGGATGCAGGCTTTTCTTCTATCATAGCAGTCCTCGTTGGCCATAATTGCTCACACTTTTCCCACTTTTCGATTATATCTTGCACTTGTGCCCGTGGGAGCATTTGAGTCTTGTCTTTGCCCTGGATTTCGAATCGTATTATCTTGTCTATCAAATCGTCCACTTTGGTCCGTCCCTCATCAAGTATCCTCCTTTGAGCCGGAATTGATCGACCACAGATCTTTGCTCGGATCCCAACAAAAAGCTCCGTCTTCATAGTTAGGCCCTCCTTCTCCTCGGTATTTCCAATTAATCGTTTCTTCTCCTGCTTTACCACATCTCCCATCAACACTGAGGCCAACATCGAATGCCATTCCAACCGCTCTCTGTTTTCTGGAATTTTAAGCTCTTCTGCCGAGGGTTCCATCTCATCGTGACCATATAGTAATAAGGTGTCCCCATCGTATATATCATTGTCGAAATTATGAACTTCTGAAGATGGTGACTCGTCATCCATCATATCCAGGTCAACAGGATAGGTCAATATATTTGACGAGGAGTTGAAATAGTCGCTATTAGGGTCCTGACGAAGTCGTTGGACATATGCCTTCTCCTGTGATTTGTATAAAGCACTAGGGTCGCCACGCCGAGAAGGATTGGTAGAAGGCGTTCGATTCCGCGACTGAGTGTTAAGATGGCCTATTGGATGTCGTACAGGAGCATAGGTACTAGATGGTGTTCGTATTGGGCCGGATGGCCGCTGAAGACGAGTAGCGGGAGTGGGAACACTTTCCGGAGACAATCTTCCAGTATTGTCAACACTATTAGCGTAAGGTAGGGAATTACTTCCTCCCCGAGGCCTGGTGCTAGTGTTCCAGGACGCGAACGAGCCGTTGCGAATAGGGGAAACAGCATCCTCATCCCCAGGAATCATGTCCTCCTCGCCGTCCAGATCATCGTACTGGGACCGCATATATGGGACGTGTTGAGAATCTTCCAAGTTAGAGCCATCAAGCTGTGATAGCTGTGCTCGTGCCATCCCATTCATAGGGCTTTCCTGGTGATGAACTTCGGTAGCAAACTGGACGCCGCGTGGGGTGAACGATTCAACCTCCGCTTCTCTGGCTGAACCAGTAGTCATGACTACTGGGGCAATGGCGATGTAGAGAACACCACAAAGTATACAAAGTAGCCGGGTTTCAACCGATAAACTGACTTGCGGTCGTGATTAGTGCAGATGCTGCTACAGCGTGTTTCAACGTTAGATCCTTTGACGTACGATAATAGAAAAATTATATAGACAATGGATAGCTAGAGGTTTGTGGGGCAAACATAGGAAGTTTTCCTAAGGTTGGAGCTGGGGCGTGTAGCTGCGCTGCTGAGCAAGTCGTTTATGTCTTGGATGTCGTGGACATGTGGGGTCTGGGGGATTGCCGTAGGATACCCCTGTACTGTTAACAGCCTGCACTAATACTCTAATACAGACAGAACATCTGGAATACATGTAGGTACAGTCGCAACTTGTTTTAATTATGCCGAAACTCAATACCCGATCCTTTACTGTACCGTACGATATCCTCTTTTTTTTTTCTCTTTTTTTTTCTTTTTTTTTCTTTTTGCTTGGAATCTTGGCATACTCTAATATCTACAGTAGGTAAATTTAAAGCTAGTTCAGTTTACTCATTCTACTTTACATGTACATGCCTAGGTCGCCGCCAAGAGGATTTTTGGAAATAGACCCAGGCACCGCGAGAGCTAGAGATGGAGAGCAATTCCTTCATTCGCTCCAGGTTGACGGCGGAGACGTCTTAGTTGAGTGTAGTAGGTCATAGATTTTAGTACTCTACAGTGCCCCCAGCCTTAAAGATAAGATCGTGAGAAAACTAAAACCGCCAAGTCTCGAATAACTTTTTCAACCACGATTGATATTAAAATCTGTGCGGTAAAAGGCTAGATACCGTGATGAACTAGAAGGGTTTTACTTTATAGATTTTTGATATCCATTTTTATTGCGTTTCTCATGTCATGTTACCTTTAAGGCTGGGGGCATATATATATATATACGTAATATACTCATTGGAAGTCTTCCCATAAGCAACATAGCGCGTTCTATCGTCCAATAGACCTGATTTTGTCTTTCTATCATCTAAGAACCATCCACTATTGCAATAGAACACGCTTTATATATTGCTTATGGGAAGCCGTCCACTGTAGTAATTAACTTTATAGTCATGGGCACGTATACAATTATATTAATGGTTGACGGAAGCTTTACTCAGAATAGAATATTTTTGCAACCTAGAGCCACAACATGCGCGCAGCCATACGGAAGGATATTTAAGGCCGCACAAGTGTGTAAGTATAGAACAAGCTTCTTTAATTTAAACCATACATAGAAAAGCCGGGGGGGAGATTCGAAAGAGGAGGCCATAAATCTAACGCGTACGTACGGTGACCGTCTCTTTCTCTCTGCTAGCTTAATTCTCGCACCACCATTAATTAGGTTTTTTTGCAGTGAATCGCGGGGTTGTACATGTACCCAGGGTGTCGGAAAATGATGCACATTGGGTGATATCTCAACCACGAGAGAATTAATCTGTACACAAGTCTATCTTGAGGTTAATTTAAGTGTGTAGATTCCTTTCATAAGAAAAATAAATAAAAAAGGTCTGTCATCGATACTTTTTGGTTTTTTAACACTGATTTTCGCTACTGGATAGTGACTTCTTGCTTGAAGAATAGCTATTTTGTATTCAATTAGCACCAGATGAATTCTTAGCCATTGTAGAGATGCCTTACACTCAAAGTTTGAATTTAGGGAGCGTTTTGCGTTGCACCAAAATATAGGTATTTGGGGTAATTGGCCTTTGTCAAACCAAAATGTGCATCACTTTCCAACACCCTGGGTACATGTATCTTAGTAATAGGATACACTCGAGTGAGATATTGTGATCCAAAGCCCTTACAATTTCATGTTTCCGAGCTCTGCAAGGCTGTATTAGGCGAACGTGCACGCGTGCCGTACCAGGTTGGATCTAAATATAAATGTATGCGACTGACGTTGCAGGCAAACTGTTGGATGAGTTTCTGCACCAGGAGCGCGAGCTAGTAGCCGTTGAAGACCTTAAGTTCCATACATGTATGTACATACGTTCTCTGCGGCATGCACGATGATTCATAACTTGACATCTCAAATGAACTTAAGTGATAGGTGTGAAAGTGCAGGGTATCGATGCCTGATCCTACTTTGGGTCTTGTTGGGCCCTTCAACAAGTGCCATGTGTCGTAGTTGGGCTACGTATACCCGGACCTTGAACCCGAGCTCGAGAGGCCACAAAATCTTGGAGCTTCATGAGTTCTCGGAATCCGCATCTCGAGTAAATAAATAAGTCTACATGTAACTTGCCTACATGAATTCCACTGTGGGGATCGGGAGGAAAAACGAGAGAAAACGCAAGTCTAGTTTATATTTACCGCGCATGCGCGTGTCGTTGGGTATAAATAAGCATGTACTTGAGTAGATGTAAATTTATGTAGGGCTGACGAGGCCTCTTAGACAAGGCTGAATATAATACCGGCATAAGGACACTACGCGTCAGTCCAATAACATATAAACCTCTCCAGAAATAGCATGATTTCTTAATTACATGTAGCTTATAGGCTTTAGGCCATAGGTGCATGAACATACAAGATATAGGATATAATGCTAGAAAGAAGAGTTCGTGCCCATACTTACCTACTGGAACTGGCTGCTGATTACTTAGTTACATGTAGTAGTATATTGCCCCCTTAACGGTGAACATGTACAGCAAATCCGGATCCCAAACCAGCATGTATGGGTCCAGGGAAACCGCTGGCGCTCAACATACTGGTCCTGGAAACTGGCACCGTATTAGCTATGGTAACTACATCATACTATTCATCTCGCAATTCTAGCGGGTTGATGCTAGAGTTGGCCTATATAAAGTACGTACTTCATATATACATGTATATGTGGCTTAGGAATTAAGCTCAGATACATGTATTCAAATGAGACCACTTTGTGGTATGTATATATACAGGCAAATAAATTATAGTACTTATATCAAGGCTACGGATGAGATATGATGCCAGACAAGTCAAGCAAAAATACTCTTACGCATGTGTTACCACGATTCACCCAGACGCACTATCCACATAAGTAATCACTTCCTTCTGCACGCACTAGCTGTAGAACACTAAATTGGCCAATAGTCCAATCTTTCTAGCCATGTACATACACGAGTACTCTACTCGCCAGAGCACAGTAATGTTATATTTCACTCTGCTTCTGGACACCTTAAAACGCAACTAGAAACTCACCGAGGTGCTAATGTTTGTGCGTCATTTCTCATGTTGTGATACCGTGATCCATGACGATCAAGCGTTGGAACAGCTGACTGATCAGCTGAATCTGCCGATGAAGGTACGTGTTCGTATAGGCTTTCATCCTAGCTGGGTACATGTACCGTACAGTGCTAGCAGTAGGAATCATTTTCTATACTTCCGATACACCCCACGAATCACAATTGTAATATGTGGCAATTATTAACAGTATGGAACGACAAGACCTAGGCACAATACATATACCGTTCATAAGTTGGCACGATGTAAATTTTGGGCTGATGATAATATATATATTCTATGTTTTATGATACATGTATACACGTGTAAATATAAACGTACTAGTAATTTGGCTTAAGGAAAGGCAAAATCAACAACTACATGTATACCCACCTAAAATCCCCTACCAAGATCCCGGAAGAAAGAAAAACATGTACTTCGGAAGATATCAGGGATATTCCCAGGTGATGTATGATATCTGTCTTTGCGGAGCTTTGCCGTTTAGGTACATGTAATTATCCTAGACGGGTTAAATCCGGGATGCTATAGGGTCCTGACTTCATGTCCCCTAGAAGTAAGTATAGCTCTTCTTCACGGAATTTTGAGTTCCAAGAGACGCTTGCGAGACTTATCATGAAGGATTATCATCCTAGATAGAGGGAACAAGACAAGTGCATACAGGTAGTGACTTTAGGTTTGAATAATCTGTAACTCCCACCAAGGCCTGGGTAACGTTGGGTCTGTACTGGCATGCATGCGATTATAAGGATAGGCTTGGCTTTTGCCTAAAGACAATCCGTATAAATTCGTAGGGGTCGTGTGCTGTGGCGAGCTAGCGTCATGAATCAGGTTAGGCCCCTTCCCCTTAAGCCGCTCTTTATCAAAATTGAAGGCTTCTCTTTATCTGGCGCGCTGCTGATAAGGAATCCAGGACCCATGCTTGAGTGATAGATAGTTGATATGCCATTTGTAAGACGTAGGTTCTACAATACAAGTTCGGGCCACTAAGTGCCAAGGTGTTGGTTTCTGTGGCTTTGCTAATCAATAACGCCCTCCCTGATAGGCTAGTAACTGACAAAATACATCCTGATATCATGAATCCTTAGGAGTCGTTAAGAAGTAACGTCCTACATATCAGGTATGTACATGTAGTACATGTATCTATAGGCACATGTGTATAAGTACATGTACTCCAAAGGAACAGTATGAACATACCTTAGACTGTGAATCCATGTCATAATACCCCAACGACTTGGTCCTCCCACGATATTTTCGGTAAGCTCCGGGAACGCGCCTAGAAATAGTCTAACTATGCCTGAAACAGTAGGGGCTAATAGTTCAGACTCCAAGGGGTTTCGTCGCTTGGGTTTGTCGGTGCCACTTATGTTGGATATCACGCAGTAAACATACATGATGTACCGACCTAGCATCTGCTCGATACATGTAGGTATGGTACTACTAGCTACACACTTTATTTTGATTGCTCGATGGATAGTGCCACAAAAGGTTGGCCAATCCAGGCCTGCATCCTTATCTACCCAGCGAGACAAAGAGTACCAACATGAGACCCAAAGTAAATGTTTCCTTTGGTGATTTTAGGCTCTGAACCAACACCGTACCAGAATTCAATCCAAACGATGATAAATATATGTACTTATACAATGTATATATATCTAGACCCACAAGATTTAAGTTTATCTACATAAGCTTTTTGCTTGTACCCGTAATATATTCGTGATACCGTGTGTTCAGATGATTAAGACGGGGACATAGATGTAAAGTTTCCGATCCACTTCCGACAAGCGGCCATGAATAGCTATATCAAGGCCAAGAGCTTACTGTCTGTGCACGCGCAACTCGCGGAGCGGACTTGAGCTGCCTTGATAGGTGTAAAACTATATGTAGGTTCGACACATGAAGAGGATATGTTTCTACATTTTTGATTATTATTCTGGCGATCTGCCGCTTTCATCAACAGCCCGCGGTAATTTCCACACTGTGGATCGGAGCATTCTAGGACAGAGCCCCGTCACGCATGGAAGGGAGGGAAGCAGGTGAAAGGCGGAGAGATAGAGATTCAACTCGGATGTAAGGCGCACAATCAAATTGGCTGGAATGAGTGAGCATGAGGTTTGCGTGTGTGACACTGGGCAAGTTATTATGTAGGCAGACGCACCAGAACAGTACTCTACATAGTAGAGTAGGTACATGTATGGAGCAAACGTAGTAGCGGTATCGCCATATTATGTACGCAAGCATTTGGGACGGAAGGCCGACATGTGTGCACAATTATATATTAATATATAAGCGGCACTATGCAGCGTGTTTGTATACCTAGAGTAGGGTATCATGTAGCGAGAGATAACATGTATGTATAGTAGGCCCAGCGTAGGTACTCTACATCTGTAGGTTTATTAAAGAAGAGTGCATTTTTTTATATTATTGTACATATTGTACATTTTTGGGTTGTTAGGGGGGGATGAGGTAGGATGTCTGGTTACCCCTTGCTCATCGATCACCAAAACTCTCCCCCACTGAGGCGACACACAAATGCGGACGGTAGTGGTGTAGGTACTAGAGCAAGTCGTGCGACACCCACAGCTCAACCCACCCACTCCTAGAACCCTGTTATCCCCGTCGGCCTAAGACTGTACCCCCACAGTCTAGTAGGCTCACTTATCCCTCTTAGCAGCAGCAGCCCCCCCCCCCCCCCAGGTATCGAGATATGGAACAATTGATTTCTGTCAAGAGATATAACAACAGTGTCCCCAAGTAAAGCGCCTACGTTCGGTTTTCTCTTTATTCTCTTCTCTCCTCCCGTCTAACAAGGTAGTGGAAAAAAAAGTCCGAACGTACTTTTTACCTCCTTTCACCAGTGCCTCAATCCTATCTAGATCTGTGTCTGTCATTCTTTACCATTCCAGCTTGTGGCCGGCGCTCTCGACACTTAGAATTCTAGGATACCTCTGAGAGTTACGCAATTTGGGATATTTCTCCAGCTCCTCTCGACCATTCTAATTTAGTTTTTCTTCTTTCTTTCTTTTCTTCTTTCTATTTTGTCATTGCCATTGTCATACATACCAGTCCCACATTTAAACCGCAAAGTAGATAATCCAACTGCAACAACAAAACATCCTTCGACCCTTCTCCGCCCCTCTCCCTTCTATCATTGAGAGATATTCATTCAGCCTCAACTTCACCAACTGCTTTTCCTCGTGTGTACTCACGAGTAGACCGAAGACGTTTCCTCTAGGACACGATGTCTTCAATAGATGTCGATCATCTTAACTATATCCCACTCGTCCCCTATAATGGCTCAGGCCCGACGGGTGGTGATTCGCTTACCGAAGATTTTAACATTTGGTACGAGGTACGAGCGACCGCGCAACGGTTTTCATCACTTCCTTTGTTTTGGTTTTTGTCTGGAAAGAGAAGGGGATCCAACATGAGAGATGAAGATAAAATAAAATCAAGACCTAAAAATGGCGTTCACGGAGAAGGGAAGAGTGACGAGTTTAAATGGGGAATGATTTTTTCTGACATGCGATCGCTTTGAATAGACAGGAGACTATGCCTGGATGCTCACATCCACTGCACTGGTTCTCTTGATGATTCCCGGTGTTGGCTTCTTTTATTCGGGACTCGCGAGAAGAAAGTCTGCCCTTTCACTCATCTGGCTGTCGATGATGTCGACGGCTGTTGTTAGCTTTCAGGTACCTGCCCTGCATCCACCCCTAATGCCAGCCCTACCCGTATGTATTAGCGACATACATGTAATCTAACTATCTTGGCAGTGGTTTTTTTGGGGTTACTCTCTAGCCTTCTCCCACTCAGCGGGAAGCTTCTTGGGAAACCTTGAAAATATCGGGTTTCGAAATGTTCTTGGTCAAACATCTGTAGGCAGTTCGAAAATACCTGACCTTCTCTTTGCATTGTACCAGGGAATGTTCTCATGCATTACGTATGTGGTTTTCTTCCCTTAATTTTTTCTGTTTTCCTTTGGGCAAGCTTGGTATACATACACCACGTATATTCCATTTATTATATAATGGTTTGAACCTTGATTACTGACCTCACCTAGTGTAGCTTTGGCAATCGGAGCAGCGGCAGAGAGGGGTCGCATGCTTCCATGTGTCGTTTTCATGTTCGTCTGGGCTACTTTGGTTTATGATCCTATCGCATGTTGGACATGGAATGCCACAGGATGGTCCTTTAAAATGGGGGGGCTTGACTTTGCCGGAGGCACTCCAGTGCATATCTCTTCCGGTTCTGCGGCGCTGGCTTATTCATTAATGCTCGGAAAGAGACGAGGGCATGGAACTCATGAACTGAATTATCGTCCCCACAATGTTACACACATTGTTCTTGGGACTGTCTTCCTCTGGGTTGGGTGGTTCGGCTTCAATGGTGGATCCGCACTTTCTGCGAATCTAAGGGCTGTTATGGCTTGCGTCGTGACAAACCTTTCAGCCTCTGTTGGAGGAATTACTTGGTGCCTTCTTGATTATCGCCTTGAACAGAAGTGGTCAACCGTTGGTTTCTGTTCAGGAGTAATTGCTGGTCTTGTTGCGATAACTCCAGGTTCCGGTTTTGTTCCCCCATGGGCTGCTGTCATATACGGGGTCGTGGGTGGTGCGGCTTGCAACTACGCCACAAAGCTCAAGTTTGTCATCGGCGTAGACGATGCCCTGGATATTTTTGCGGAGCATGGAGTCGGCGGTATTGTCGGTAACATTATGACTGCCTTCTTTGCAGCGTAAGTCTCCTGTATTATCTAATATAAAAAAAACGATCGATGTATTAACAAGAGATTTTAGCGATTACATTGCGCATTTGGATGGTTACAGTGAAATTGATGGTGGTTGGATCAATCACCACTGGGTCCAACTCGGCTATCAAGTAGCTGACTCCGTTGCTGGATTCGCGTATGCTTTTGGGGGAACTTGCATAATCCTTTTCGTTATGAATTTAATACCCGGCCTGAGCCTTCGAGCAAGTGAAGAGGCTGAAATACTTGGAATCGATGATGCCGAGCTTGGCGAATTTGCCGTATGTACCATTCTTCTGTTATAGATGACGAAAAAGGGAACTAACTGTTTTCAACCTAGTACGATTATGTTGAGCTCACTCGCGAGGTCATTTCTGAGGACGATTCCGCTCCTAAATTCTCTTCGGAAACCGGCACTGCTCTGGGTCACAGTACAGGCGAAACACCAGAGAAGCCTTAATCGTTTCAAAAATGCAATTTAAGATACAAGTTTTGTTCATACCCTGGTCGTAGGTGTAATTTTATTGTTATTCGGTTTTCTTAGGAGGAAATTATTTATTGCTGTGTTTCTACCTCTTTTACTTCTCTCTCTCTCTCTTTTTTTCTTCTCTTTTTTTTTTCTTTTCTTTTCATGGTGGGGCTGTCACTTGAGCGAGGAGTAAGGACGCTGAGGAGGATATCAATTGACTTCGGGGAAAGATAAAGCGAGATATATACATGATATATGTTTCTCGGTAGAATCGAATTTAGAGTCGAGGCTTTTCACCCATCGCTCTTACCAAGTTCGAATGATAAAGGATAATTGACACGAGAAATATCGGATATGACCTTTGATGTAAAATACAATAGCAAAAAAGTCAGTATTTACAATGGCATGCAAACATCGATAGAAAATTTCGCGTTAAACTAGAGTTGTAGGAGTCAAATTGTACTGCTGCCTCTTCTTATCGTTTTGCTTGTATGTTAGCCAATGCAAACACACACCCCAAATTCTTTTTCGATGGAATTATTAATGATCTCACCTCAAGCTCTGAGCAGCCGAAAGAACACATGTGTGGTGAAGTACCACTTGTAGGTACATACATGTATACATGGTACCGGTCTCGATAAACCGACAATCTACGCGCTAATAGCCCGGACAAAAATCGATTTATTGGGCATATATAATCTATTCTAACAGAATAACTTCTCAAGCGAATAAATTGTCAGAATTCTAGAAACCCTGGTCTTGGGAGGCGGCATTACTACATGTAGCAATGCCTGGTCACGTGGGGATACACCTAGAAGGTACTACTCTCACCTAGGCATTATTTAACCTACACGTGACCGAAATTCCAGGCAGTAGAGAATTTATACCCGTAGATCTATATTCTACTCCTTCAATGGAAGCATTCCCGTGGATATTCTGAAGGTGTTCAAACTTGAAGCCTTGAAGATCTTGTATAATGTATGTATGACCTAGATGTAGTTCGGATCATGTGACTCGAACAATACAGTACTTTATCGGCTCGCAGCATGTAACGTCATGTACTCATCTATTCATAGTGTTTCCGAACACGACTAATATTGCATGACATACAAAAGGGAGGATTTGACGCTTTTTAGTAGTAGTTGATCAAACAGGAATGCCAAGACTATCCAACTAAGTAAATGTATGCACCCCAGAGCTCCCGGCAGTGTCCACCTCGTTGGAATACACCAAGTGCATAGCACTTTTTTGAAGTAGATACACAACATAATCCGCCCTCAGACAAATATCACAATTCTTCTTTGCAATGAACAACAGCCTGGTAGAACCGGCGGGCTCGGCCGATCATGTACCAAGTGAAGGCCCATCTTTTCCGATGACGCGTGAGGAGTTTGAGGCAGATCCCCGAGTCGCTTGGTCTAGGATATCAGGGAAATGGTCGTTGGAAGCAGATGATGGCTCAGAGTATGAGTTCGACGAGGCTCTCAAGCGATGGATACCTGTGGTATGTTCATAACTCCTCGTGTCAGTGTGTTGGGACCACTAACTTTCGGTGAAGTTAGACGAATCTCTGGCCGAGCAACAACAGGCAGCATACGCAGTGGCTGGAGTCGACGAGTCTGAACCGGCTGCCCCTGTAAATAAGAAGAGAAAGAAGATCTACACTTCAAATGAGGGGAGTGAGGTATGTACGCGTTAATATTCTTATATCGGAGATATACTAGATCTAGTACTTGGTACTTACGCCAAATTACTGCCCAGGAAGCTTCAAACTCCAAAAAAGCTCGAGGAAGTAAGAAAGGCGACGGAGAACCACCAGCTCGCAAGAACACAGCTATATATATCACCAATCTTCCTCAAGACGTCACAGAGGAGGAGATCAAGGATGTCTTTTCGAAATGCGGTGTAATTGCTGAGGAGATAGATCGAGGAAAACCGCGTATCAAGCTTTACAAGAATGATAAAGGGCAGCCGAAAGGCGACGCGTTGGTTGTATACTTTCGGCCAGAGAGCGTAAAATTGGCAGTTCAAATGCTTGACGATTCAGACTTCCGGTTTGGCGTGGAAGGTACACGCATTAAGGTCCAGCCGGCGGACTTCAGTTACAAAGTGCAGCAAACAGCACCGGTGACAAAGACCATGAAAGATAAGAGAAAGATCATTGCGAAGACCCAAAAACTAAATAAGTTCGATCGCCTGAAAATAAGCTTGCAAAAATAGATACATGAGAAGTTGACTATTGAATAACAGCAAACTAGCGGATTGGGGTGATGATGATCCATCAGCGCTTCAAGAGAAGAGCTCGCGATGGGATAAAGTTGTCATCTTAAAGCATATGTTCACCCTCAAGGAGCTCGAGGTAAGCAACTTGCGTTTTAATCACTGGCTCGTGCTTATCCATTCTAGGAGGATCCAACAATGCTCTTGGATTTAAAAGAAGATATTCGTGAGGAATGCGAAAAACTGGGCGATGTAACGAACGTTGTGCTGTTTGATGGCGAGGAGGATGGTGTGGTGAGTGTACGATTTGCCAATACACAGAGTGCAAAGGCATGCATTGAGGTATGATAATTTGATAACACTCCCATAATCCCCATTTTCACAATGTGGGTGTATTTCCTGTGTTTCTTACAGCTTATCCTAGGTGATGAATGGTCGCTTCTTTGGGGGGCAGAAGGTAGAGGCGTATGCCTTCGATGGCGAGGAGAAGTTTAGGAAAAGCTCAAAGAAGGACGCCGACGATGAAGGCGAAAAAGAACGCTTAGAGAAGTTCGGTGATTGGCTAGAGGAAGCTAAAGAGTAATCGATCGGCCATATGCATAGCATGCATTACATCTTGGTAGAAAACGATCTCTCACGGTTTTCGCTGCGTTGGAATCGAATTTTTGATGAGGAAATACTAGAGAATGGCCGTAGGGCCAATATTTGTCTGGGACTAAACAAACCTGCGGTAGTATATTGTGTTGCATGTCCTGATGCATTTTGTAAATGCAACTTACCTCTAAACTCCTGATGAAACAGGTGATATCACTCAGCGCAGAGTTACAAAGTGGAAATTTACCTCTTGATAAAGGTACCGCCTATATACCTAAGGCTTTGGTTGAAGGATTTTGGCCGAGGAGTGATATTGATGTTTACCGTTCCCTGTATTTGACTAAGTCCCAATTATAAATTATGCGGTACTACTTGCTAGACTAAAACGCTCTACGAATCAAGGGATTTTCTTCTTTTTTCTTTTTTTTTACCAATGTAATTAAGTGATTTTTTAATTTTCCGGGGGTGAGTGAGGTCCTCAAAGTCCCCCAGCGAACGTTGTACCCTAGCATTTTATTCTTGCAAGAGTAAGCGAGGTGCTCCTACAGCAAATATCGACATCAATAAGTGGCTAATCACTATCGATGCCGTTATCAAGTGCTTCGTCCTCCTCATCCTGGCCATTCCTTCCATCAACCTCTTCAGGAGCTTCATCACTTTCTTCGTCCAGGGCTTCAGACTCGGTTTCCTCTGTCTCGTCAATATCGTCCTCTTCTTCATCTCCTATCTCCTCTTCCTCTTCCTCTTCCTCTTCCTCTTCCTCGTCCCCCACCCTCTAACAGGAACAGAATTTGTTATATGTCCAGTGCTCTTTGATTGATTTGTTCCGGAGTCTGTAGTCGCACCTACACGCATCTTCTTGGGCGCTGGGGGGGAGTCATTCCCATTACGTGAGGACTCGGAGGGCGAATGCTTAACAGCACCGGATCCTGATATAGCAACACAGTCCTTGGATTTTGAAGGCTTTTTTGCCGCTACACGCTTCTCGGCAGCAAGTTCATTGAATTCTGCGGAAGTATGGCAGTCAGTTGATTGAAAAGATGGAAAAATTGAAAGGTAAGGAAACTGACTAGCTAGTTCAGCCTCCAAGCGAGGAACAAAGTCATCAAACTCCATCATCTGCATGGCCTCGAGAATATCTTTAGGATTGATCATTTTTCTTCCATGGTTTTTAGCTGTGTCGTTTGCTCTAATTAGAGGTCAGTATGATTGAGATTCAGGCATAAGTTTCAACTAGCAAGGGATTTGTACGTTGCACAAAGGTAGTTGATGAATACAGTGCCGCCTTTAGAAAGAGCAAGGATGGCATCTTTCTGAACACTGGTGTTTTGCGGGAGCACACCTTTGGCAAGGCGAGTTACTATAGATTTTGGAAGAGTATGGTCCTAAAAATTGGGTTGAACTCTTTGATTGTGGGTAGTTGAGATAGGAACTTACATCAATGGACACGCCAGCTTCCTTCGTACTTATACCGCCTGCCCCTAATCCACCACTGACTCCTATAGTATTTCCTCCATCTCTAGCCTCTGTAGTGTTATCAGACTTACGAGGCATTTTGTGGATTTGGCGTTGATGTGTGACGATTTAAGGAAACTGGCTTGCTTAAACTCGTGATGCGAAGGTCAGAAACGTTGACACGTCAAGTCGGACGCGTAGACGTCAAGAGGTTGGCATTTAGGAAATAAAATTAAACGCGACAACACAGCAGGTAATAGGATAACAAATTGCAATGGCTCTCACAAAATACAGATACAAAACCCGTTCTTGATAGGATACTGTACCTACAAGATAGTTCTCTCATGCCTCTCCTAACGAAGCAAATAGTAACTTCTAGGACTAATATGCAACTACGATAATGCCTTAGTGCCAAGCCATATGTGATGGAATCATTTATATGACATTAGAGTGCGTTGGCCAATCCCTGTTTTTCAAATTTTGAGCTCAAATTTTGAGTCCTTGGCGGGATTTTCACACCAAAAACAGTCGCCAAGAACAAAATATTTAGGTTTGGAGGTTGATGGCCAATACACTCTATTATCCCTTATTCTCTTCCTCCGTTTCGGAGGGTGGGAGGACTTGTATACATGTATTACATCCCGTCGATATATCTAAATCAAGATATCTCATGCATACAGATACCAGCAATGCTTGTAATTAACCGAGTGATAAAGGGTGATTGCAGAAGTTTTTTTTTTTTTTGGTTTAATTCAGTGATTGCGGAAGTTGAAATGCCACAGAGGATTGATAAAGCTCTGTAAGATTATGAATGAGCCAGGGGATTAATTTTTTTCTAACGTACATTTACGGCTAAAGATGAGAATGAAAGGCTAAATGGCATCAATGCCAGATGTATCCTCTGCAATTCTTTGCGCCACACTTGCAGGTCCACCTGGAGGGGTCGGCGTCCTCCTTGTCGGTGGTTGAAGGCTTGTCGGCATCCGCGTAAGAAAAGGTCAACTCCTCGTAAGCGCTGACTTTCCTGCCCGTGAAAAGACCAAGATTATAGACCCTTCTCTCAGAAGGATCATTGAGAACCGCATAGGTCTGAAGGTTTGGATCACATGAATGGTTGATGAACCTGGCGATACTGCCGCAGGCCTCACCGTCAATTGTGAACTTTCCCTCGGCCTGGAGCTGGTGATGGTACTCCGGCATCTCCGCAAATTTATCAAGGTCAAAAAGATAAGAGACTCCTTTGGTATCGGCTAGTTCGGCCCGCCTGATGGCTTCCTCGTCCCCAATGACCTCACCAAGGTATAGATCGATGAATGTCCCGCGTGGAAGGGCGACAGGGCAGCGCAATCCTTCGTTTCTCAACATTAGTATCCATATATTAGTATCTCTAAGGAGACCCACCCCATCCTTTGTTCTGAGTACGAAATATCTGTAGCTCAACTTGTCTACCGCGCTCGACAACCCTGTTGCCGCATTCAATTGTGCAAGAACATTTTGGGTTACATTCATAAACCACATTCTGGTTATCAAAGCCAGTTCTGATGACACCGTTTTTATACGCAAATTGTTGTGGGATCAGGTCCTTCACACAGTCACAAACAGTTGGATCAGTGCAGCCAGATGCTGGGCAAGAACACCCGAACAGGAAGTCAGAATCCTTCACAGGAACATCTTCAGAAAGGCGTAATTCCCGTATTAATTCGAAATCGAGCGGTGGAGAGTGTTCGCCGTCGCCGGTAGTATTGACCAATGTGACTCGTGGGCCAGGCAACTGGTCGAGTTTCTCTTGGAACTTTACCGTGTCGGGGTGATCAGGAGTAGATAATTGGATTGAATTGCGCCGTGCAGGCTATCGAGAAGTTAGCTCCGTTCCCCATGTTCCCTAGGTGTACTTACTGTTCTATTCTGTATGATCTCGACCCGGTCACCCTTGGTGATCGCACCTTCAGTCAAACTCTCGATGGAACCGCGGCCGTCGTCGAGTTCGGCTTTGATCTTTTTGAGAGCCTTTTGGACGCCCGGAATGGACAAGCTACGCTTGAGATTTTTTTTCCCGGATAAAATTCTTTCTTGTGGATTTTTACTATGCGTGCGCCATTCCCTGAGAATCTTATCACAACCAGTCAGGTTGATTCTCGGTTCCCAAGTTGTTGTGTCGTAACCTTTCCACTCGATCTCGTAATACTGTAAGTCGGTTAGACACCTACTGTCCGGCATAGAGTATCGCGCGGCCAGTTTGAAGCCGCTCAAAGAACTATGGCGAGTGATCTGGCAGCCAGCGAGAGCTCACGTTTCTGCAGTATTCAGATCAATTGCCCCTTTTGTCTGAGCGGCTTCAGTCCGGCAGCGCGAGTAGGGATTCTCGATGAGAACGCAGACTTGTACTTACAACTTGAGATTTGCAGGTCTTTTCAGAGACAACTCTAACAACCTAAAGGAGAGTGAGTTAACCAAAGCACGGGAAGCTAATGTCGGGTTACCCACCTCAAATTCCCTTTCTATATTGAAACAAAGCTCTTTTGAGCGGGTTGTAGCAGCACTTGAAGAAATTTTTTTGCCAATGGGCTTTGATTTATTACCAGCCATTATCACTGTAACCAATATGAAAGTCAGTATGGATTTCTGTAAAAGTAATACTGTAGTTAGAAAACAAATATTATGCTCCAATGCTATATTGAGTGGGTTGAAGTATAGGGGGTGATGTATTTTTTATTATTCATCAATTAGCAAGGAGTGAAATAAAAGAACAATGTTACCAAAATAAAAATCTGCAACTGTTTTTTTGATTTTTGTTTTGTTCACTTTATTGAAGGGAAAATTGTTGTAAATTGTTGTAAGTGGTTGATAATTGAGATTGTTGAAAAGAATATTCAATATTGTTTAAGTTAGAAAGAGAAAAGGAAGCATATAAGAGTCAAATTTGACTATTTAAATACAAATTTCAATGCATATTATTTAAGTAGGGTAACACTACTATTGATTACTAATATGAAGTTCTGTCTAGTACTAAGTAGGCTAGTTTCAATAACGCTGTTTTTCTTTTCGAATTGAATTGTATACATTTTACTTATATTAATTTTTCTATTTGAAGCTAAATTTTATTTAGAAAAAATATTGTGATAATACATGTATATTATCGCTGGATATGAGTGTTCAATAAATTTTTTATTTTTTTATATATATATACATAGAATTATATTCTATTTTTTTCTGTTTCAAGTTGATGTAAAATATAATATCAAATAATAATAAAGAATTTCAAATATATATTTGTTTAGAAGAAACATTATTATGTCATATTTATATCAAAGATCAAAAACTAAAAAAGTATAGCTTTAAAATATTGTTTTTGTTTTTAATTTTTGTTTCTAACAGTACTACTAAGTCAAAGCCTGTTTATCTCTCAATAATATATATGTGGGTCTATTATTAACTGTTGTAATTACATATTGGATTTTCCCTACCCGCACTTGACAAGTGGTCCCGGGCTAAGTCCGGCAGAAATCGTGACTAACACATATGTATGTAATCTCTTTGTTGTGGCAGAAGTCTCGGTGCAAGCCTCGGACTATGGATTAACTGAAGATGTAGAGTATAATACTTCCTCAAGTGAACCGGTTTCACTGACGTTCAGACTACATTTCGGGTTGTACCCACCCCTATAGTCCCAGTCTACCACGCTCGTTTTGGCTAATTTTACATGCTTTGAACCTTGGGCATGAACGAAGAGATCTTTGTTCGTGTTCAGTTTTCGCAGTAATCATATAAAAACTTGGCTACGGGGGGCAATTGGTGAGGCGAGAAAAGGGAAAGAGGAGGTCACAAACTGTGACATGCGGTCGGAAATAGTTAACGGAGTGAGAGTTAGGCTACCGGGGGCAAAAGACTTCGAATTAAGCAAAGTCTATTACTAGGTGTAGATGTCTGAAGAGATAGAGATAAGTGCCTAAGAGAGTACAAACCTGGCTTCGGCCGGCTGAAGCAAGGGAATCGCACATCGCAGATCCATATAATTTCTCTACTATGTAACATGGTTGGACCTCATACGCAGGTAGATGAACTAATGTATTTCCCAATACCACGAGGGGGTTAAATCCACTCATTCTTACAGGATTGGTAGTATCGGTTCCTGTTGAAGGACGCCCTTCCCAACGAGGTCCCGATATCCTTTTGACGGTAGTAGTACGGAACGTAAATTGAGGAAAGATTGTGCAATACGTGTACCCCTTCGTGCGTTGCTACAAAAGTCAAGAGTTAATTGAATCACTAAGACTACAAACACCATCCAGGGCAACGCTAAGAACAGACGAAAAGTTGTGGGGACGCATTTTGTGGTTCTATTGTCTTGCAGGGGAACTGAACGGGGAGGTTGATGGTTTCGAAGTTAAAAGTGCTCGCTATAAGTAGCGACCGGAAGGAATTCAGAATCACGGGAATACCTTTGACTACAGGAAGGGTTATGTATTCTATGTAATAGGATTACGTGCTCTCGAGGGGGATAGAATTTCCGTCGGAACTGTGGCCTCCTAATCGGAAGGCATTCGTGGGATCCGGTTGAACACTGTCATATTCCAGCCAACTGTTTCTAATGGCTTTCTGGGATCTTTACGTTGTTGATGTATCCGGGATACAATCTAAACTTCATGTTGCTTTTGTATTTACGGCTCCTATGGAAAGACGGTGGTGGGAGCTGATGGTAATAAGCGTAGGTTCTTGAGAATGGATGGTGTCTCAGATTATGGCACAGTTTTGACTTGCATTGAAAAACCTCTTCGATAAAAACCTAAAGAAACTAATGTCCCAAAACTTCCCAGTTTATGTATAATAGAGCGCCCATACTAGGCCAAATTGTTAAACTCCAGGAGCTTCATAACCATCTCCCTTTGCTAGAACTGTCCCAAGACCTTGGTGAACTTCAACTTGTAGTGGGGCAAAATCCACGCGCTCGCCATCAATACTGACATACTCTTCTGCCACACCTTCGCGTTTATGTGGCGTTATACGGTATGCAACAACTTTCTTATAGTTAACTTGGTCCAGATTAAAATGGTGTCCTTTTTCGACAGCAAGGAGAACTTTTGTAGCGGATAGACGGGAGAGTGTCCCGGGGATTGTTATAACGTCTAGAAAACCGTCACGGGGACAGGACGCCGGGAAAAAATTGGCACCGGCGGACATCCAGGCCATCTATGAGTATGGATGTCAGCTTTGGACGAAATTTCTGGATTAGGAGCTAACTTGCATTGCCTGCATAGAAAATTCCCATCTCTGCATGGTGTACTGTTTCCCAATCCCCTGGTAATGGGTCGTTTACGGTCCCGTACTTCAATCCTGGGAACTGACCCCCATTATCAATATTTTGCTTGATTATACCTTTATCGCCTTCATAGGTGCGGTAATGATCACGGATAGAATCTTTATCTTCAATCGCCGTTTTAATCGATATATCGCATGGATATATAGTTTGTCTGGATATGCGTTGTAGCAGACCGACGGTAAACCTTGCATCACCCATCCAGCGGAGATGTTCAGTTCCAAGGTCAACTTCGGCAATCATTCCGACAGACTGGGAGAGGAATGATATCAGCCGGTTATTTCCTTGGGTTATAGAAAGGAGATCAATAGATCTCCTTTTGCCCTTGATAATTGCAACGGTTGCCAAACTCGCGCTTCCAGTACCAGTGAGATTCCAGCACATTGCATTTCCAGAGCCCCCGGGTAGCTGGCAAACAGCAATCTTATTCAGAGCTCGCGTTGCGTCGTTCCTTTTTGCGAAACCATTGAATACTTCGTGTGGGACCCCGTCGCCGGAACAACATATAATTCCATCAAATAAATCAATGTCCAAATTCTCTGCAATGTCTACTGCATGTTTATAATGAGTGGTATGTTCAATATCGAGTTTGCAACGTGCAGCTTCAAGCAAAGCCTTTGATTGCTTATCGAATATATTTACTGCCTGTCCGGAGCCACCGAAGGGGTTGATGATGACTTTGAAACGCTTCAGTGCAAGGGAATCTAGCATACATCAGTAAGAAAGAGTGATAAGCGTGTTGTGGGTCAAACCCTCGTATGCTCTATCGAGAAGATATATCACCCATTTTTCAACCGATTCGAGGGCGGTGAGTTGAAATGGGTATGTTAGGCTAGTAGGCCGGACTGAAGAGTTTGATGTTGATTCGGCAAAATTAAGCGTTATGGCTGTCACACCAACATCTGCCCATAGGATATTATACAGCGCGATAGTACGTTTACGGTTAACTACCACCGTGTCAGTAGGTACTTCAGTAATAAGGGGTGATTGCAAACCAGTAGGCCATGCACTGCAGCATGAGCGGGATGATTTTTTGATGTTTTCATCTGAACCGTTGATGTCAGTTTCTAAGTGTGGAACGAGCGCGTACCATGCTTACCAAGGATAATTAAAGATTCCTCGGTTACTGTAAGAGATAATAACTTGCCGAGGGTTATTGTTTTGCCAAGGGGAAATTCCGAGTCTGGAACTACACTACTACTGGGAGATGTGGATCTTGGGGCAGCTGGCATCAATGGACTTGAAGACATGAGTGATTCCTGAGGATGATGGAGGTTGGGAAGAGCTATGTCGTGGCTCTGATTAAAGAGCTATGGAAAAAAAGCAACTAAAGAAGAGCTAACCGTAATGAGATCCTTCTATAAAGTACCTACATGTACATGTATGTACACTCACACACACGGGATGAAGGCGGATCCTGTCTAACGGCGGTCAGGTATTTGAGGCCAATAACAGAGTTAGGATATGGACGCCAAGGGCAAATTACTGCAAACAGAACCATCAGACAGGACCCGCCGTCAACAGGTGAGCAACTGTACCTGTGTAGGCTATGCCGTGGGGCGTTGGGACCTGCAGCTGCTAACGCCTTGGGGGCGCGTGAAGGTCAGCATACCGGCTACCAGAAACACCTGTGCTGGATAGACAAAGTTCGAGGAACCAACAGCAACTGAAGACAAAGAATACAGGAACATAAGATTAATATTCTAGTGAACTCACAGGCTCGAAATGAAGATGTGGTATGTGGTGGTGGATATATGGTGGTGGCTGGGGTGCAAGGCTGGGTGGGCGTTGTTTTGCGGAGAAGTAATTTGCCATGAACCAATAACGAGTGATGTACCGTGATCCCGGGGACAGAACTTACGGATTTGCTGATCCTAAAGGTTAAAACACTGTTACAGATATCACTGAAGGTTATTTCCAAGTTACACAAATGCGGGGAGTCCAAATTTTGGATCGATTTGGCTCTGAGGTAAACAAACAACCAATTGCAGCTTGAAGTATTAGTATCAGAATTAAATATGTCTGATGATAATCAGAGGAAAAATATATCGTTGGCGTGAATTTTATACTATTTACACATGTAGTATCTGTAATGGGGGTTTCGACTAGAGAAGAATAGATTAAAGTAGAATAGAGGTGGCCGTGCAAGATAGAAATCAGGTTGCATGTTATTCAAGGATACTATTTCTAGAACCGTGACTCAATAATCTTTAAAGGCTTTGCTACAAATTAATACTCAAGATAACTTCTGATAAAGATAGATGATTGAGAATCAAGACAGTCAGATAGTAGGAAAGGTTATGAGTACTTATACTCCAAAGGACTCTATTCTCTGTTCTTACTTTCTTATTAAGTTCCTGTTATGCCTTCATCAAGAAAAAAATGGGTTACGTCAAAACGAAATCGGGCATCCAGATATATAAATTCGTCTTTTCCCTGTAGAACCTAGTTTTTTCAAGTTGGTCAAACAAACCCGCCTTATACCCCACCCATTTTTGCTCATCAGCAAAAAAACGAGTTTTGGCAAAACGAATTCGGACGCCGAGATGTCCAAATTTGTCTTTTGTCCACAGAACCTCCTCTTTTGGTTAAATGATCCAGTCTGATATCCCCACAGTTTTTGCCCCTTATCTTTTGACTACAAAACATGCCCGTTTGACAGCTCTAATTAAGAAACACGTCGATGGATTCAGACAGATTATTTTTTAATTATTTCATCCTATGCTCGTTTTATTGCCAAATGTCCTCGTTTTTACGACCTTTCAAAATTGAATCTTTTGTCAGAAATCTATGTCCATTCTGTCTAAATATACACTCCCACTAATGAGACCATCAGAAATTTTAGTCTGACAATTATTCTCTCTAAATACACATACTGCTAACGACAACCATCAAAAATCAAAGCCTAAGTACACATTGCGAAATACACACTGCTACTAATGAATCCCATCAGAAATCTCCACTGCTTGTCACGGCTAAAGACCCAAGTTCCTCGCCGATTTTGATGTAATGCCTCATTTTCTAAATTGATTATAAATTGGCACTTGCCTATCTATATAAAATCTATACACGACTGACTTCAGTCAAGTGCCCAACCTTATTTCAGTAAATTAAATTGTATATCGATAGATCGATAGTACTATTGATAAACCACTGGCACATCAGGAAACCTGTAGCCTTCGCCAGACGCCCGGGGCGCTCAGGGCGCTCAGGGCGCTCGGTAGGTAAACTACCTCTCCAGAGATACCGGCAGTGCTCCTGGCGAGGTCTGGCGCACATTATTCCGCCCCAGCGCACACTAGTCCGCACAACGGGCCCCGACACTAAATAATAGCGCCCGGTGTAACTAGGACGTCACTCTACCCGCCAGAGAACGCCAGTTGCACGGTTGGATATCCTGACTGCTCCTGGAGCACTCTTCACTGCTCCAGCGGGCTCTGGGGATAGAATGATTGCCCTGACTCCCCCTGACGTTGCCGGATGGGGTGCTTTGAAATCTGGCTGATGCCCGACGTACCGATTCCTACATGTCGGCGCCCCGTTCTCTCTAGGCATACACCTCTCCGCCGTTCCGGCCTCTGGTATTCACAATTCCCCCATGAGATTACAAAAACATCACTCGCACGACGATCTCTACTGTCTCCAGAGCACTCGCGACTGCACTTTGAGAATTGGTGTATTCAACACCGTGATCCTCCGCCTAATACTAAATACAATACGCCATTTAACACCCTAACTAACCCTAATACAATATACGAATCAGAAGAAATCCCCCACTATCTTCCTTAGCACTCGTGATTGTTCTACACATCCTCCTCCCCCCCCCCTTCGTAATCCCCCGCTACAGGTAATTCCGGCTCTTCTTCTTCCTCCTCCCCCTCCTCTTCGGTGTCAATGCCGCGAAGTCGGGCATTAATCACTTCGTCCTGGGCACTGTCGGAATCAACCCGACCTCCTGGAGCACTCGTGGGTGTTCTCCGAGCATCTCGGAATGCGGCAAGATCCGCAGCCAGAGCCTCATCATCCTCGCTAAAACCCTCCTTCAGTATAATCTCAATCGTTACCCCTTTTTTATCTCGTATCTATTAGGGTTAGCATTTAGAATACCACTCGCATTACCGGCATCTAGAAGTATCATACCTTTTCTCGAAGGTTATCTTTGATTACTTCCAAGGTTGCCTCCTGGTTCTGTTTATGTAACGGGTGTCTATGGACGTAGGGGCTATGATGCCAAGGAATACAACCGAGGCAAAGATGTAGCAATAGGTATACGAGACTATGGACTATGGAGTGGCTCTGCCTAGTATGACTACTAGTTGAGCCCTATGACGAGACGTAGAACAAAGTAGTATTCGTGGAATGAATACAAGATAGATAGATATTTATTTTGCATAGAAGCACATAGCTTATCGCACGCCTACACTACCGCCAAAGACAAAAGGAAATGTACGTACAAACATCGCGCGACATGGTGTAGATGAACAGAAACTAAGCGACGAACAAAGTAACAACACTACAGTAGACATGGAATCCCAAAAGCTTCTCCGTCAAACAACATAAAGTCAATCGTCTATATACCTGTTCACCATAAACCAGGATCATTACCAATGCCTAATAGGAAGTACTGCACGAAAGCGAGGCGAGAGACCGCCGAAGCATCAGGTGCGAAAGCATAGGGAGGGGGTGTCGATGGGGTCCCTGGTAGTCTGCTCGTCAGGCAGCAGGGAGTTAAGATAGGAATGGCACAGAGGCCAAGTGTAGATGGGGTGAGCGTGAGCCGCTACCTGTTGGTGGTCTTTACAGTGGTGACCTTCGAACTCGATTTCCATAGTATATAGGGTGGTCGCAATCGTGGGTGCCGACCGTGTCTTGATGGGGTGGCCTCGGTTGTAGTACCGGGCCGATGGGGTTGGGCGAGCGGGGAAGCCGACTCTGTTAAAATGGGTTGCCTGGCTAGGGCCGTAAAGCGGGGTAAGGCCCAACGAAGGGACCTCGCGTACGGTGAGGAACGAATGTTTCGCGAGCATAAGGTCGCTAACACCGTGGGTTATCGTAGGCTTTGGCAATGGGTCTGTGCTGACCTCCAGACTATTGACAGAGTGCCAATACGACGTAGAGAGGGGTAGCCTTGAAGGGCTAGTTGTTTGGGTGTCGCGATCGGGGGCGCCGACGGTTTTGAGGAGGGGGTGAGAAGAACGACGCATCCTCATAAGAGGGTTCAACTCGGTAGATAGGGGGACGTCTCGTTCAGGGCCGGAAGCAATTCGAGAATCAGGATGTCGAAACGGGAGGGTCGAGTACCCTCGCGCGGTCGGGCGCGAGAATACAGAAGATAGGCAGATAGTTTTATATTGCTTTGAAGTACAGGACTTATCGCACGCCGGATCCACCGCCATAAACATAGGAAAAACAAAGGAGACAGAAAAGAAAAGAAAAGAAGACGGAAAGCAACGAAGATCAAAATAAGGTACAGAAAAGGAAAGAGAAAACAAAGAAACCTTTCATCATTCCTCCGGGTCCTCCTCGTCCATTTCGTACCAGTCGAGTAGGTTGGTTTTTGATGCGAATTGTAGAATCAGGTCTACGTTGAGGTTGGTGAATAACCAGTTTTCCCAGGTGTGCGGTCCTGGGATTTTATCCATAAGTGGCCTTCGTATTTGAGCCCATCGCGGGCAGTCGATCATGGTATGTTTGGAGGATTGTTCCGAGCCACATTGGCAGGGTTCGGGTTCCGTGAATGCTGCGTGTCTGTCTATTCTGGTGACTTGGCATCGTATGCGATGTATGAGTTTTGCTTTAGATCGGGGGAGTTTTGCTCGTTTGGGGTGAATTTTAAGGGTTCCTGGCTCGTGGTAATTGGTGCATGGGATGGAGTTCCATTCTTCCAGCATGCGTTTGGTGAGGGTGTCGTTTTGGATCCATCGCTCTCTGTGGTTGCCTGGTTCTTGGAAGGGTAGCATGAGTGATGCTATCCGGTGTAGGCCTGTGCCTTTTATGTTTTTTATTCTGGTGGGGAGGAGCTGTATAAGTCCTTCGTTGAGTGGGTGGTCGGCAGGGTGGCAAAGGATGCGCGTCCCGTATTTTCGTAATTTGTGGTTGAGGAGGTGTTCGAGTGGGGGGAGTGCTGCCTCTTTCAGCAGTTTTTCGGTTTTTGTCCAGCGGGGTAGGCCTGTTACTATCCCGGCAGCTTCGTTATAGAGCGGGGATAGTGATCGGAGGATGTGGTCGGCTCCCGTCCACCATGCCTCTGATCCCCATAGGATGGTGGGGAGGAAGCCTTGGACGATGAGGTGGTGGATGGATTCTACTGTTGTCCCGGGGAGGTGTGCGATGTTTCTGATTCTGCTTAGGGCTTTAAGGCCTTTGGCGATGGTTTCTTCGATATGGGGTCGGAAGGAGAGGTTTGAGTCCAACCAGACTCCAAGGTATTTGAGTCTATCTTTAGATTGGATTTCTTCTTTTGCGATTGTTACCGAGTTTCTGGGAGTTGGAGTGTTCGACGATGTGGGTTTGAAGAAGACCAGGTCGGATTTCCGAGGTTCGTATTTGATATTGAGGGGTACTGCTTTCTTGACCCTTTCCGCCATTCTTTCGTTGAGTCTTTTGGTGATGTAGAGGGGGGACTTTGCGAGTTGTACGATTGCATCATCGTCGATATAGGTGGTGTTGGTTTCTTTGGGGGAGTTGGTGGGGTCTGTTATCACCCCGGCGTATATCATAAATAATACTGGGGAGAGGGGGGAGCCTTGGGGTAGTCCTGAAGCATATGGTTGTGGTTGTTCCAGTTCGTGGTTAAATTGGAATTGGAGTGTTCGGTTGGTGTTGAATTCCTTGCACCAGTTGGTTAGGTATGTTGGGAATTTTTGTTGGGTCATGATTTCTGCGAGTAGGAGGTGGTTGACGCAGTTGAAGGCTCCCTGTATATCATTTGTAAGAAGGGCTGGTCTGTCTGGGGTGGTTCCTGTGGTTCGTTTGATTAGGAGGTTTTGTTGTATGGGCGTAAGGGTCCGTAGTAGGGTATCGATCGCTGAGATTGTTGGTCTTCCTCCAAACTGGTCTTTGCTAAGGATCTCCAGGATGGATCCAGCGGTGCATAGTCTTGTTGCCACTATCTTTTCCAGTACTTTGCTGAAGCATTGTAGCAGGGAGATGGGTCGGTAGGCTTTAGCTGACGAATAGTCGGATTTTCCTGGTTTCGGGATCGGTATGCATTTTGCCGCTTTCCATCGGTCCGGCTGGACTCCATGTCGGAGCATGGCCGAGAACATGTCTTGGAAGAGTTGGGTGTTTGCCTTGATTGTTGCCTGTATAAATGGGTATGGGATGTTATCAGGTCCGGTGGCCGAGTGTGTCGGGCAAGATCTGATTGCGGATGTAATTTCTTCTGTTGTTACTTCCTGGAAATCGTCACTAAGGTCAAAGGAGGGGGGTCTGATTTGGAGTGGGGGGTTGTCGGGGGACGTCCAATTTGTGGGGAAGAGTTGGGCTCTTAGAGCTTGGCACTTCCCCACAAACGTTTCTTCACCTTGTATAGTTGGGATTGTGGTGTCCCTTCTTTTCCCCGTGTTGATTAGTTTCCAAATGGCGCTTCCCTTGGCTTCCATGAGTTCTTTTTCCCTTTGTTCTGCCTTGGCTTTTCGGATTGCTGCCGTCCATTTCCTGCTGGTCTTCCTGAAAGATTCCCTGTCTTGGTCCTTTTGGGTGTTTCTGGCTTTCCTTTCTAGTATGTGGAGGGTTGATTTAATTTCCTTCAGCTCTGGGGTCCACTATTTCTTAGATTTAAGGTGTCCTTGGCTCCATTGGGTTATTTGGTCTATCAAGTTATCTATATGTTCGAGTATGAAGTCAACCGATTGCTTTGTGTGGTTCTGGCTTTCCCATGCTTCGGGGGGAAAGTGGAGGCCTGAGATATTTTCTTCCAATTTTTCCCAATTCGTTCGGTGCCATAGTCTCCTGGGAATGTGAGGGGGCTTCTCTATTCGTAGTTGTAGGATGGTTTTCCCGTGGTCGGATCCTGCTCCATGTCGGTCGATGGTCCAGCGGACGTCATGGTCCAGTATTGGTCCTTTGACTAGTGTCAGATCGATGATGGTCGGTCTGTTATCATTTCTGGGGAAGTGTGTGAATTCGCCTGGTTCATTGAGTAGGGATAGCTTTTGTCGATCAATCCATCTTTTTAGTTTCTTGGATCTGGGTTTGTCTGCTCTGATTGTGTTGGTGTAGTCATGGGATCTATGTCCATACCATAATTGGTGGTGGCTGTTGAAGTCTCCCATGACGAGGCAGTTTTGGATGGTGGTTATTTGTCGGGAGATTTCTGCGAAGGGTCCGCTCCGCCCTGGTGAGTATATGTTGAGGATTTGTGTTTTTTGGTTCTGGATTTCCACCGTGACGGAGACGATGAAGTTGTTATGGGTGTAATGGTGTTTTGGTTTTAGGTTGGCGTGTTTTCTGATATATGTAGCGGCTTTAGTGCCTTTGTTGCTGGCTGTGAATAGATAAAAGAGAGGGGATTCCGGTGGGTGGCCGTCTTTATTGTTCCATGGTTCTTGTAACAAAAGAAAAACCATGTTGTGGTCCTGTTCTGCCTCCTCCACTACTGACTTTGTTGTGAGCTCGTTTTTCGCGCAGTTCAGTTGCTGTGCGATAGCCGTTGTCCTTTTGGTGTGACTCATTGGGTGTTATCCATGGCTGCATCTTCTTGGGGGGGGTCTTGGGCCGGGATGACGATGGGTATTGGTAGTGGGCTTGGGTTTGTATCTGGTTCAAGTTTGTTTGTGATGCGGACTTTAGTGCGTTCCGGGCAGTTGGCGTCTGTTGCTTTGTGGGGGGCCTTGCAGTGATAGCACCGGATGGGTGTGTGGATGCATCTAATACCTCCTGAGCATTCTGAGCATGGGAGTTCTTTGTTTGGTGGTCCTCTGCACAGTGTCCGCATCTCCCGGTTTGGTGGGAGCATCTTTCGTGTCGGTGGCCGTACTCTAAGCATTTGGAGGTTGGGTTTCTGGGTTGGCTGGGAGGTAGTTATCGATTTTGCATTGCCGGTCGAATAGGGTGAGGTATCTCAGTCCGAGGTTATCCTTTGTGTATTGTCCTGGGAGTGCGATAATCATTGATGAGTGTGTTTTCCCTGTTCTG